CAGCATCGAGTAGATTTCAAAGATTTTTGAAAAAATTTTGGAGCATTAGCAAAGAATTAGGAGCAAGAGCGCCATAGCTAGCAGAGATTTTTTAGGAAATTCCTGGGTAGCTTGCAGAGATTATTTAGGAATTTTAGCGAGATAACTAGGAAAAAAAGCCTAAAATAGCAAAGATTTTGAGGAATTTTTTGGAACCTAGCAGCGAACCTTTAGAAAATATTAGGGCATCCAGCAGAGATCGTTTAGGAATTTCTCATCGGCTAGCTTGCAGGTTCTTTTTGGGATTTTTCTAGCAGCTGTACGAGATTTTTCAGGGAATCCGAGGCTAAAAAGTGGGGATAGTCTAAAAATTTTTGGCATTTAACTAAGACTGCGTAGAAAATTGGGCTAACCAGCAGAGATTATTTAAGAATTTCTGGTCAGCCAGCTATCAATGCCCATTTGGGGACTTCCTCAGAAGTGCCATTTTGAAAGTATTGCCGTCAACAGACGTGCCGACTAATTGCCTGTGGAGGTTCTTTGGGGTCCAATTTCAGCTTTTCGGCTTCTTGTTCGACTTTCTTGTTGACGGGCCCTCTTCCTTTTCAAAAGCACACCCCCCAAAACAAGTGGCTGACAAATTGGGGGTGGGGTGGAGGGCAGGTGATGTGTTGACAACATTCAAGAATGGTCTAGAATTGGTTGGCCCAATGGATGAACTTTCAACGGTTTGAAAAACTCAGAAAGGCAGGCTAGCAGCGATTTCAGATTGCTAGAAAATTTGGCTATCATTAATGCATCCCCTCTAAGAAATGAAATGAATAAAATAATAGTCTAATAAGCATATTGGTGCAATTTGATCACTTTAAAGAATCGGGGCAGGCTAGCAGGGATCATTTTAGAAGTACGGTTTTCCATTGATGTTTCAATTTTGGTCTAGAAAAGCGAATTGGTATGGCCAGCTAGCAGAGATTTTTTAGGAGTTGTAGCTCCCCCGAATTCAAGGAAGGCCCACGATTTGGAGCTGTCTTAGAACTTTTTGAATCATTAACTTTTCGATTTTTAGGCGTAGGGCATGCTAGCAAAGGTTACTTGGGGGTTTAATAAGCTCATGCTTCTCCGATTTGATTCCTATGAAGGCCAGGGGCCGGGCAGACTAGCAAGGATAATTTGGGAATCACTGCTTGAAAGAGCTCCAGACCCCAGTTGGAGCTATAGTAACCCAACATTGCAGTTATTTTATTAGATTAGCTTCGAAAAGCCCGAAATCAAAATTGATGCCACTCAAGAAAGCAGCTGATCAACACTTGGTCAAAATTTGGTGGCGGACGTCTTTTAAAGATTGCCAATCACCCCAAAATATGCCCTCTTATCTCGAGGCGTGACGGTAAAGCCGGTTGGCTTGGTGCCAAAAATAAGGTGGGCGGTAAATAGCGATTGTAGGGGGCAAATAAGTGGGAGAGAGAGAGACAGAGAGAGTGAGAGAGACAAAGAGAGAGAGTGAGAGAGACAGAGAGAGTGAGAGAGACAAAGAGAGAGTGAGACAGAGAGAGAGAGAGAGAGAGAGAGAGAGAGAGAGAGAGTGAGAGAGAGACAGAGAGAGTGAGAGAGACAAAGAGAGAGAGTGAGACAGAGAGAGAGAGAGTGAGAGAGAGAAAGAGAGAGAGAGAGAGAGAGAGAGAGAGAGAGAGAGAGAGAGAGAGAGAGAGATCAAAGCAACCTATGTGAAAGCTCCAGATAAACAATAATGACGGATTACAGGGAAGAAGCGGAGTACTTCTTTTCCTAAAACCCATCCATCAGCCACCATTCCTTTCTACTAACAATTGTCGTTTACAGCCCTCCGTCAAACCCGAGAAATCCCGAATAACAAAAGTAAAGGTAGAGGGCCAGCCAAGCGAACATCCTCTGCCTAACCCCCCCAAAAAAATCGGACGTCTTTTGGAGCCATTCGGAATAAATATAGCCCCAGGCTACAGAGTACAGTGGCGCAAAATGGCAGCTGGATCCTGGCGGAATTTCTGAATTTTTATGGACTTTTTTGTAAATAGATCAGATCTGATGTTTTGAACTACCGTACTCGGTAGTTTGGCTTAAAAGAGAACGCCAGTTGTGTTTTGGCGGAATGTTTGTTAACAAGTGCTTTTTCATTATCGGGGGGGGGGAAGTTCATTGAAGGGAAACTTTTACTTAAGCTCCAATTTTTTTAATGTGAATAAGGGAAGGGTTTTTACTTTTCTTGAGCGCGAAGACCTTAGAAATTTTGATTCGAATACAAACAAATATCGATTTTGTGATAAAAATGACCGGTTTTTACGGCCAAGTTTTCAGACTTTAAAAAGTTCCGATTTTAAAGATTTTTTCAACCTTTAATATGATAAAATTTTACCAAAAACAACGCTAGAATATTAATTAGTGTACAGCTCGGCATTTCTGGATTTATAGGCCCCTTAAAAGGCACGCTTTTGACGGGATTATGGTAGCTACGGTAACGTCTATTAATGCGGACATGTATGTCTATTAATGTTTGAGATAAATATACTGGAAATTCCGCAAATGTTCTCTGCTAGCCTGACCATAAAAATTGGCGAAAAAGGTGCAAAGATTAAAAAAATGGGATTGGAATCCGGGCGGCGAGTCATGTGAATTGACTGGGGGGAAATAGCGTGAGTGTGTGGTGTGGCCCTAAGGGGGAAAAGGAAGAGAAGAGGAGGGAGGGGAAGGAAATAACAAAAACAATCTGCGCAGCCAGCAGTTCCAGTGGATGGCAAAAAGGAGAGGCACCGGGGACCCCATTTCTGCAAATGTTTTCCGGAGAACGGATGGCCGCGGAAAAAAGGGTGTTGTCCCCGGGAAATGGAGGATTTCGCAAGGATTTGTTGACTAATTTGAATATATAAATGTGGTTTTAAAAGGACGGCCAAGGTATCTATTAATGCAATTTAGGACACTGTGTATAGGTTGTTAGACGGAACTTTCCAGCTGAAATTCGCAGAGATCTTTTCGCAATCCTGCCAGCTGTCCCACTCCATTTAACAGCGGGCAAGCTAGCAGAGATTTTTTAGGATTCCTGCCAGCTGTCCGACTTGAAAACATCCTTGTTTTTAAAATACTGAATTTTGAAATTGGAACATTGAAAAACAGGGCAAACTAGCAGAGGTCTTTTCCGAACCCTGTCAGCTGTCCCGCTCCCTTTAGAGATGGGGCAATCTCTCCAGAATGGGAGTAGGCGAGCAGAGGTTTTTCCGAATCCTGTCAGCTGTGCCGCTCCCTTTAAAATCAGGCAAACTTGCAGAAATCTTGCAGGAATCCTATCGGCTGTCCCGTTCCCTTTAAAAAGCCGGCAGGGCGGCAAGAATTTTTTACGAATTCAGTCATTTGTCCCACTGCCTTTAGAAAGAGGGCTAACTTGCAAAAATCTTTTCGGAACTGCTAGCAGTCACGCTCCCTTTAAGAAGCCGGCAAGCTAGCAGCGGCGTTTGAGGAAACTTATCAGCTGTCCCGCTCCCTTTAAAGACACGGCAGGCTAGCAGAGATCTTTTGGGAAACCTGTTAGCAGTCACGCCCAATTTTAAAAGACGGCAGGCTAGCAGAGGCATTTTGGGAATTTTGCTTCAACTTCTTCGACTTTAAATGTGAACGACTAGCGACCGTAAGCTCGGAAAATCTGGGTTTCTTGCGAGATCCGTTTTAAAGCGACGGTGCCAGCAGGGTGGCAAAAAATAGCCCAAAAAGCCAAAATTTTATGTAAAAAAACGACAAATGTCCTAAAAATGCCGTCATTTGTATTGGAAGCGTTGAGCGACATCGGGAATGGGGTGGGCCACTAGTCGTCAACATAACACAATGTCGCCCAAAAAAGGACCCGGCCCGCTAACCCCCTAAAAGTGGCAAAAGGAGGGCGGCACTCCATAAACAGAATATCTCTCTCGCTCTCTCTTTCACTCTCTCTCGCTTTCTCTCGCTCTGATTTCCCTCCAAAAGCCCCCCATCCGGGGCGGCGAGCCAATCCCGACAAACAACCCCCAGGGCTACTGCATGAGGCTGGAAAAACCTACCTCCTATTGCCCTCTCTCTTTTTCTCTCTCATCTCTCCCTCTCTCTCTCTCACTATCTCTCTCTCCCTCTCTCTCGCCTGTGAGGTGTTGTTTAGATGGACCGACTGACGCCCCGGAATGGGTGGATAAACAACAAATAGGCAAATAGGGGTCCTAAAGAATGCCCTTTTCGAGATTAGGGGATCAGAAATGGAAGTTTCCTCCGGTTGATAGGCGATATTCTATTCTGTAGCCAAAAAACGAACGTAATCTGTAGCCTGTCGTAGCTTTTGCCACCGTATTCTGGTTCCCAAATTTTCCTAGCCACCTGTGGTCAATCGTGGGTTGTGCTAGGCTGTAATCCGTAGCCCGTTGTAGTTTATCGTAGTTTCCATCCTCCCGTACTCTGTCGTCTACCGCAATTTGTAGCCTATCGTAGTCTGTGCGCTAGCGTAATTAGTGGCCTATTTTAGTCTGTGATCTATCGTAATTTGTAGCCTATCGGAACCTACAGTCTATCGTGGTTTTTAGCTTATCGTACTCTGTAGTCTATCGTAGTCTGTAGCCTTTCAGAATTCGTAGTAAATCGTACTCTGTAGTCTATCGTAATTTGTAGCGTATCGTACTCTGTAGTCTGTCTTAGTTTGAAAAATCTTCTTTATGTAGCCGAGTGAGCACCCCCTCCCAGTCCCCCTCCGTCCCCCCCCCAGGGGGGACCCACCCCGGGTGGGCGGCGAAGTATACTGTACCTCATAGATGCGTGGTCTTAATACAGAATTTATTCCACACAAATTGACAGGCCTAAAAATTTGAAAACAACTAATTAATAAAATTCCCTGCGGGAGATCACGGGGGTACAAAAACAGTAAGCTCTAATATTTCTTCAGAAGAATTAAAAAATTACAAAAAATTATTATCAATAGAATCGTGCGAAAGACCAGTGGGGAAATCGAAAACCAAAAAAAACGAAAATTCTGAAAATTACGGTTTCTTGGAGGGTTTCAGGTTCGTTTTCACGGTTGATGGGATCGGCTCGTAGTCGCGGACGTCGTTCGTTTTTAGGATCGTCGCGTTTGTGGAAGGAGGAGGGAGCTGAGGAGTCGTTTTTGGCTTCGGAGGGGCGGGTTTCGTGCCGTTGGTGGCCGGCTGGAAATGCATTAATAGCGGATATCACTAGCGCTCACTCTCTCTCGCTCGCCCTCTCGCTCTCTCTCCTCACCTTGACCGGTTTCTTCCAATAATTCCGATGTTCTTGCCATTCTCTAGCGTTTAGTGTCTCCACCTCATACCCATGCGAGTTGATGCCACGAGGTACCTTAAAAACAGTTCCTCAAAAGTTTCTGCAAGCCCGGCTAAATCCTGAACGATCTTCGCTAGCCTATACAGATCCTCAATAATCTCTGCCAGCATGCCTATATCGCCAATGCTCTTTGCTAGACTGCCAAAGCCTCAATGATATCTGCTAGCACGCCCTGAACCTCAAAAATCCCTGCTGGCTATCCAGATCCTCAAAAATCCCTGCTAGCCTGCCTGTATATATAAATGCAGAGTAACGTTAAATTTACACCTACCCGTTCGACAGCCTTAACATGCCATACAAGAACATCTCTCTGTCCATCCATCCATCCAAAAACTTCCGCTTTCTCTTTCGGAACTCCCATCTGCCGTAGTAGACACGTTTCCGGCACTTTTCCAGGGCATTGTCGTGGGATTCGAGCCCTGGTCAAAGTTATCAGCATTTAGAAGCAGCTACAAACCCGGAGCTGATGATTAAAGGGAGAGCGACAGCAAATCCTGCCATATCAACGGCATATTCTCGGGACGGGTAGTAGAAGGCGTTCCATTTGGTGATAACTCCCTCTTCAACGTGTGGAGCTTCGACTAGGGAATCACCAACGAGCCCTGGAAAATGTATTGTAAGTATTTCTCTCTCTCTCTCTCTCTCTCTCTCTCTCTCTCTCGCTCTCTCTTTCTTGCTCTCTCGCGCTTGCTATATTTCTTTTGCTTTTTGCTGACATAAAATAGATATGATTAGCATTGAAAATATTTTGAAAAAGCATAACTAACCGACAGCCCACACTCCAATTGTCTTCACATTTCGAACGTATTTGTTGAAAAGTCTAAAAATGCTGCGTTTCTAGAGGGATACGGTACCTGTGATCGTAGGCATTGTCGTCATCCATGAAATATACTACGGCATGCCGATCGTATACTGAGAAACGTTCGACAACCCATTCGAGAGCCACGTTACGTTGCCACCAACCTTTTTCTGAAAAATTAGCTCTCTCACTCAATCTCTCTTTCTCTCGCCATGTCTGTCGCCCTCTCGCTCTCTCGCTCTACCTCTATCTCGCAATCCCTCTATCTCACTCTCACCCTATCTCGCTCTCTCTCTCTCTCTCTCTCTCTCTCTCTCTCGCTCGTGCTCTCTCTCTCTCTCCAAAATACCCACTCGGCCATCCATCCTCCGTCTTTGCAAACATATAATGATGAGGTATATTCGAGTTTACCAACAGGGTTTGCACCTCAAGCCAACAATTCCATTAGTTCCTCTTTACGTACCTGCGTGGATAGTCTCTGCCCGTCCTCCACCACCACCCAAAAGATATTATCCACCAGCATTAGACTTTGGGCGCATCTAAAAAGGGGTGGTTTGTAGGTATTTTTTGGAGCTGCCGCGCTACGTTGCGTAATCGATTACCCGCGCCGTCAAAATCCATAGATGCTTGCCTTCCTAGTCCCTTTAAGGCTACCGTACCTCAATAGATCGGCCATTCTTGTTATCCGCTTATATGTGGGGGTTATTAAGATTATCAACGTTTTATCAGAATCGGTTGGCAGTCGTCTGGCCGGCCCGTGGTCTACTCTAAAAAGAGCTTAATTTTGATTCATTTAGCCAGATATTTTCGCTAATTTTAAAAAAATTAGTTTCTGAAATTTAAAATTTTTCATTTATGAGATTCTTAATCATTTATAAAAATAAAAATCTATAATTACCTGGACACATTGAACACGCCGAGAGCAATTAATAGTAGGCAGGCTACGGTAAGCGGGATCTGTAGACTGGCCCAAGTACAGCAACATCCTCTATTTCGTCGATTTTGTCGGGGTAATGCTTCGGTGGAGTCGAGGTCCTGGAAAGAACCGATTTTACAGGGTCTTTGTTAGCTTGCCTAGATCCTCAAAGGTCTCTGCTAGGCTACCTTTCCTCCAAAACCCTCTGCTAACTTGTTCAATCCTTAAATACATCTAAAAATCGGTTAATTTTTTCTTAAAAGATCTCTGCTAGCCTGCCTTCCCTCAAGGAGCGCTGACAAATTTTTGATCCTCAATAATATTTGCTAGATCACATAATAATCCTGAAAATTCACTGCTGGTCCGTATGCTTAACGAATTTCTACTAGATTGCCCTTTTCCGCAACGATCTCTGCTAGTCCGCCTAGGTCCTCAAATATCCCTGCTAGCTCGCCCAATCCTCGTTATCTTCTGATAGCCTGCCCTTACCAAGAAATCTCTGCTATCCCGCCCCCACCTTTCCCAAATGTTCTGTGCTAGCTAACCCAATTGCAAAAGATTTCTGCTAGCCCTCCCAGATCCTCAATAACCTCTGCTGAGTTGCCATCAAAATTAACACTTTCTGCCCTCCTAGCCGTCCTCCTCAATGATCTCCGCTAGCTTGCTCAGGTCTCAAGAAATCGTGCTAGTCGGCATCCCTCTTTTCCGCAAGAATCCCTGCCAACCCCCCCCACTCACATTAGTGTGTATCTGGCTGTAGGAATGGCTTCTCGTCGTCGTCCATTTCTTCTGGCTCTCCTTGCTCAGCGTCTGGAAATTAGAAATCAGCTTAAAAAATTCAAATGCAACTTTTCATAAAATCTCTAGGGGTATCGCTAGTTTTGTTACCGTTTTGTGGACACGCGGGAAACCCTGAAAAATGTTTGGGTCATTTGGAAAGGGGAAAAATGCAAATTTTGTCAAAGTTACCAGGGAAGTGGATTCGGTCTCATCGCCCTCCTCCATTTCGATACAATCATTCACAAATGGAAGGGGATTGGAGTGGGTAGAGTGCTGTAAATTGGGGGGTTACGGTGGATTACGGTAGATCGGGTGAGACCTGGGGAGAAGAGAGAGATAGAGAGAGATGGAGCTAGAGAGAGACAGAGCGAGTGCGAGAGAAAGCGATATGAGGAGAAAGAGTGAGAGAGACAGAGGAAGAGTGCGAGAGAGAGCGATATGAGGAGAAAGAGTGAGGGAGTGCGAGAGAGAGCCAGAGAGCGAGAGAGAGCCATATGAGACGCGAGAGTGAGAGAGCGATGGAGAGAGAGGGGAGAGAGAGAGGGAGAAAGAAGGAGAGAGCGAGAGAGAGAGAGTGTGTGTCTGCGAAGCGAGAGCGAGAGAGAGAGAGAGAAAGTTCTAGAGAGAGAGAGGCAGAGAGACAGGTATGGAGGCAAATCAAGAGGCAGGTGGAAAAAATCAAACAGAAAAAGAGACAAAAAGCATCTTTTTAAAATTGAAGGCATTCCAGTAGAGACAATTTAGGAATAAAAACACGAAATCAAGACCTCTCCCATCCATGCCCCCAAGAAGCTATGTTTCATTTCACCCGTCGAGCCGAAGCAGTCCATTTTTTAGGGTGGTTGATCGGGAGATGGGGATTGATGTCTCTGGCTTCGCATCTTCCCTCATACAATGAGATACAGAGAGACTTTCTCCACCCTGAGGCCCTGATAAACGATGGCCATATGGCCTCTGCATGGCCCGCCGTTAGGACCCAGATTAATGGGCCACATCCGGAGTGAGAGGGTGAGAGAGCGAGAGAGTTAGCGAGAGAGCGAGAGCGAGTCAGTGAGAGTCGGTGAGAGTATGAGAGAGAGAGAATGAGAGAATGAAAGCTATCATGACCACCAAATCTTGGAACGAAAATAAACAAGGTTAAAATTGGAACGGGTGGCAAAAGGTTTTTAAAAGGACGGTGACCCTAGGTATATTCAGAGCGGGACGGTGTGCGGAGAGGCGGTAAATTCATGATTTTGCCTTGCTCGTCCCTTTAAAGGGCTTCTCCTGTCTTCCAAAACATGTTCTCTTTAAAGGAATGGGGCCAGCAAACAACAAGAAACATCTGTGAAGTTTAAAGGAACAGGCAAGGCAAAATAATCTCCACAAAGAAAGCGAAAAGTCGAAATCTGTAAATGACAGCAGGACAATGAGTCTAGGAATTCTTAAGAATCGCGGAGGCAATGCTTGTTTTCGATGTGGGGAGCAAGCGATTGAAGATAATTAGGGTCCTCTCCCCCTGCCCGGCTTTACACTTTCTATTGTCTCCAAGAAAACAACAAAAAAAGCTCTGAAAATCGACCGGATCAGCAAGGAAATAAATGTATAATAAGTATTAAGATAACTAAACGAAATAAATCAAGGCGCTGCTAACAAATGGACTTGCAAAAGAAAAACACAAAAGTCCGAATTTAAAATTGAATTTAACAATGTTTTTAAAAAGAATTGAAAGGATTTGGAATCCAAAAAATAGGAGGAACTCCTCGGAGCTGGTGCATGCATTTGTTAAAAAATGTTCATTTTTACGCTTTTATCAGATTCTAAAGGACCCTGGCGTGCCGAATGGCGTTCAAAAGGGGGGCGGGGCAGCCAAGGAGGCGTTCTATAGAATTTCTGAGCCGCGAGGAACTGGGGTCGGGGGAAAAAGCACGAAAAAGAGAAAGAATAAGCTAAAAACGGCGAAACAAATGGGGCGGCTTATAGTTTTTCGCCTTCAGGGGATGACGGGCCAGGCTTAGAAAAGTAAAAAATAAATTAGTTACATTATATTTCCTTTAAAAAATTGTGAAGAAGATGCTCGGCTCTTTAATGGCAAATAAGCCGTTCTAAAAGAATAAAAAGTTTCTTTATTAGGTGAAAAAGTTACATAAAAATTTCCAGCCTTTTGATATCTTAGTAAGCAACGAAAAACTCTAAAATATGCTTCACAAACATAAAACCACGTTAGAAAAAGTAGGAAAACGTGAAAATCTCTTAAAAATTCAGATGCCCATCTCATCATCCCGAGCCCGGGGCTCCCGAGACTTCTTTTTACTTCTTCTTTTTCGAGGCGCCCGTTCGCTCTATCTCACTCTCTCTCACTCTCTCACTCTCTCTCACTCTCTCTCTCTCTCGCTCACTCTCTTCCAGTTGACTTGAAGCGTGTGAACAACAATTCGCGAGGAGCTCGAGCCTCATTTGTCGGTCCCCCCCTCTCCCCCGGTCAATTTGGGCGGGGTGCCAAGAAAAAATTCGACGGGTGAGGGAAGACCTGACAAGGGATAATTGGATTTTCCTGATGTTTTTCGAATGTTTTAAAGGGATGGGCAAGGTTGAATGATAGAATTTTATACGATGCTGAATCACCCGAAAAGTTTTGGCGCCTCCGCGAGACGCAACTCGCAGGCTTGTACTTGGAAGCTTGAAAAAGCGGCTGAATGCCGGTCTGATTTTATCTGCGTAATCCGGTAATCCGGATATCCTAACGACCGGAAATCGGGCCCAAAACCACAGTCCCAGTTTCCCTATTAGTCACCGTAAAATTTTTAGTTTTTCCGTATCATGTTTGAGGCGCTGAATAGAGTGGAACCAGCCGGGGAAAAAGCGCTATATTTCGGGATTCCACAGGGGAACCGGCAACCGCGGGGTGGAGGGGGGGGTATTGTTCTTTTGCAGGGATTTCTGGTTCCGAAATGGGCATTAAAATGGGCAGATAGGGGGAGGGGGAGGCTGATTTCTTGACAGCTTGGATGGACGTTAAGAAGTGTGGGGTGGAACATTTGAAATTTTCTACTTGTAAGACAGAAAGAGAGAGATAGATACCGAGAGAGAGGGAGGGAGAGAGAGAGAGAGAGAGAGAGAGAGAGAGAGAGAGAGAGAGAGAGAGAGAGAGAGTTGATCCAGATGATGCGACAGCGAGTGTGCGTGTGAGAGAGGTAGTGCGAGAGAGCAAGAGCAAGAAAGAGAGAGAGCCGGTGAGAGAAACAGAGAGAGCGTGAGAGAGAGAGAGCGACAGAGAAACTCGGTGGTCAAAAAGCGAGAAAATCAGCAAAGCTAGCGAGCATTCTTCAGGAAAGTTTAGAGAGGCTATATTTTCACGAACTTTGCAAAAGCTTAAGGTTTTTCGGAGTTTTTTTGTATAAGTGCGTGAATAGGAAACGTGTGGAATGAGATATGAGGAAAAGCCGGGCGGGAGGGGCAAATATAGATATTCAGGGAGGAGCGGGTGAAATATTCAAAAGAGACTGGGAAAGGGCCCAAACCCCTGGAAGGGGCAGGAGAGGGATTAGCCCTAATGAGACTCCGGCTTTTTCAAATATGAAATAGGGAGAGAGAGATATAGAGAGCGTGAGCGAGAGAGAGAAAGAGAGAGACAGATAGAGAGACAGAGAGAGAGACAGAAAGAGAGAGAGAGAGAGAGAGAGAGAGAGAGCGAAAAAAGCTAGAAACCCATCCCCATTAGCGGGGCTCAATTCTAATGAGAATGAATTTAGGGGAATCAGGGTTAGTACGAATCGCTACTATGTATGTTGGGTGGCGGGAAGGGTAGAGGATTAGGTTACCATCCGCTGGGATAAGCCGCGAATTTACCCACGTTCTAAACCAAGCCGTGGATTTGCCAAAGACAGTTTCGAACAAGCAATTTCCACTGAGTATCCTGCTAAAAATCGTCAAAAATTCGATAAAAACACTTTAAAAATGTGGATAAATTGATCGTTAATATTTATTACTATTTTTATAAGTGCATTTTTAGGAAATAACGGGAAGTAATCGCAAAAAAGTGCAAAAAGTTGCCCGAAAACGCTTAAATCTAGTTAGGTTAGATCCGTTCACATTTATCGTCTCGAAAAAGCCCTTAAAAATCTGAATAAATTGAGAATAGCGAAAGAATTTTGAGCTATCATTAATGCGTAATTTGTTAAGCTGAAAACGAACGCAGCTATCATGCAAACGTGCTAAAAGTTGCCAAAATCGCCAGAATCCCCCCGTGGACAACCGGACCTCTTTTGTGACTCGGCCAACTTGTGTGAATGGGGCCCCGCAACGGCGACTCCCGAAATTTGAATATGGGCCCCCTTTGGGCCCTCTGAATTCCGGTTGAATGGCTACAAAAGGGCGACGAGCCGGAGGGCCAGATATGAATACCCAATTCTACGCCCTACCCCGCGGCGTGTAACTCCCAATTTGGCGCGCCGCCAATGGGCGAAATTGGATCAAATGCAGTTCTGAATGCGGCGTAACACTACCTCAAACGTTTAAAGATATTCGCAAGGCGTGGCTATAGATTCAGTACAGGATTCACGACGCTACAACGTCCGAAAGAGACGCAACGCGTACGCGACCGCTGGTCAAAAAAGGAAAGGGTTAATGCCGAAAAATACCATATAAATTGATTTCGTTGCACAAATGCAAAATATTTAAAAAAAAACCGAAATTTTTGAGGCGAAAAGGAATTTTTAAGGGCCAGGGGATTACATGTCGTAACGCCCCGTTGCGTACCCAATCTCTCGCTCTCGGCGATTCTCTGGTAAATTTTCATAATTGAAACGTCCAAAATGATCAAAATTCGGTGAGGATTCCAGAAATAACGTCAGAATTTTTAAATTCAACGGTTTTCACGTCCTGGCGGGGTCTGGCTATTGGCCAGGAATCAACGCTAACGCTAGCAACTTCGTCGCCTCTTGTCAATTGATGTCCCATTAGCGATTCAAAGTCAAGGAAAAAATTGTAATAACTTTATACCTAACCTAGAGCATCACATACTATTTTAGACTCAACAATCCAAGAAGTGAGGCCAACCATAGAAAGGGCAAAAACGGCAATTGAATGAAAAAATTGAACGTATCCCGTAAGAGAATCGGCAATAAATGGGGGTAGACTGTAGGGGATTCCTCGCTGAATTCCTTGGCCATCTCCACTCGTCCCCTCGTATTCATACCGTAATGCACGCGATCGTACGTGCCTGGAAATATATATTTTAAAATCGTAGGTAGAAGGTTTCCTAAATCAACCCTGCTAGTTTGCCCGGTGTGTCAGTTCTCTCTCTCTCTCTCTCTCTCTCTCTCTCTCCGGATGTGGCCCATTAGTCTGGGCCCTAACGGTATGCTCTCCGCTAGTTTCCCATTCCCCCAAGAACCCTGCTAGCTCGCCAGTTCCTTCCTTACCCAATATCTGTTTCCTGGCCCCATTCCACGCATTGGGCCCATTCAATCGATAATGATGAGCCGTCACGGGACCCAGATAAAGCTGCAAAATCACAAATATTCTGGAGTTTGTTGCCCTCATACCGCCAATGCCAGTTTCGGGTCTCTCAGAAAAACGTCAAAGCTCAAATCGGGTTTGGCCCCGATCATCCCGGCCAATTGATCAAAATACCAGATATGATCGATCTGAAAAGAAGATATGTATCAATAACAGTTGTACTTAGGCTTAGCTTAGACTTAGCTTAGCTTAGACCTGGCTTAGGCTTAGGGTAGGCTTAGCTTAGGCTTAGGTTAGGCTGAGCTTAGACTTGGCTTAGGCTTAGCTTAGACTTGAATTAAACTTAACTTGGGCTTAGCTTAGGCTTAGCTAAGCTTTCTTTCCTAACCCTAAAATAGGCTTCATAAATTTCTAGCTTACCTGCAGCGAAGCGCGCCGATCCGAGCACTTAAAACGAGCTTTTGTCGCTGCTTTGTCTCCTTAAACATTCCTTAGGTTATCGCACCATTTTTCAGCCAACATATCGAAATAACGTCTAGATACCCACGGTCAATTTCCGCTTGCATCTCCGCTTTCGAGGGTAAATCGAGACGCTTGGCCCAGAAGTGAGCAACAACTCGGGCTTGTGCTTCGGAGCATGTGATTGTCGGGCCAAGTGGGTCGACTACGCCGATGAACTGTAGACGGGGTAGGATGCGGAAAAGCTAATTTCTAACCGCTAGTGTGTTAAACTGGTGGTCGGGTGGGAAAATGCGACGCCAGAGACGGGTTTGATTGTCGGAAACCTGTAAAAATAGACTTCGCTACGCCTTTAAAGCCTTTCTAAAGTTCCATAGATGTAAAAGCGGTTGATTTTTAACTTTCAAGTCCCTTTAAAACAAAACCCACCGGAACCGTCCTGCCCTCCTCGATGAAATTGAAGTCAAAATCGTAGCCCGTACAGAAGATGACGTCATCGACTTCCTAAAGGACCATTGAAGGGAAGAATACGCTTGAGTTTACGCCAAGCTTAAGCCCACGACAAGCTTAAGCGGCCTAGATTTAACCTACGTCAAATCGCCCATCCTCATAATAGACGCCATTTTCCGTGAAACTACGAATGCCGACGCGCAGCTCGACCCAGCCACTAAAAAAAATCCTAATTTCTCAAATTGTCTTTGCTAGTTAGCCCGCCCCTAAATCAAAATCAACGTTTTTCGTTCAAGCCTCGGCAGCCACAAAATACAACTAACAAGGAGTCGCTTTTAGGTGCTTTTGGAGTTTCGGGACGGGACCTAGCTAGTTCGATAGGGAAAAAAATTCTGAGCAACATCCCGTTTTCAAAAAGTGCTGATCGATAAAGCTGTTTCAGAAAATTTAATTTAATTAAAAATGTTCCCGGTGTCCGGACCCTTGTGGTGATTTGAGGTGATTTGCGGCTGTGAATCGCCCCGGCCACATGAGGACTTCACGCGCCTGGGATCTCGTCCTAGGCATGGCCAAGTGGCTAGTGCGATGGACTACGAAGTTTTTTTTTACCTTTTGCCACAAGTTCGATTGTTATTTAGCGTTAACTCTTTGCTTTTTTGCTAATTAGAATTTTATGCATGGATGACGGGTTCAAGGACCAAAAAGCAAAGGTTTAGCCAGCGCGAAGATTCGAACCCGAGACAAAAAATGTTAAAAAGGTTGGTAGGCATGCGCGCTACCAATACGCCAATGCAACCTCTGATGGAGGCATTGGCGGAGGGTTACGTATGGCGCCCTGCCCAGCCCCGAAAACGACGTGGACCGAGGAAATGGACCCGAAAACTAGAAAAAGCGCGAACTTTAAATTAAATTTTCTAAAACACCTTTATCGATCAGCACTTTCTGAAAACGGGAAGTTGTTCAGAATTTTTTTCTCTATCGAACTAGCTAGGTCCCGTCCCGAAACTCCAAAAGCACCTGAAAGCGACTCCTTGTAAGCATTAAATACGTCATTGAGTACGAAGCATAGCAGCGGAACCCAAGTGGGCGAAAAGGCCAACTACTACGCCTCTTTGCCCCTTTAAAGTGATGGTGAGACCCCGACTACCTCGCCAAAAACAGCGGCAAATCGTCGGCGAGAAGTACGGGGCTCTCCCCCGGTCCCTCGGTCGGTTGCAGTCCGTATAGTTTGTGGTCCAGCCGCTCGTTATAAGCCCCGATTGTCTTCCATTTTCGAAGCCAGCCTAAACTCGGTCTTTAGCTATTAATGCGTCCCCCTGATTTTCCGGTCCGTTAAATATTTTCGAACGCTTTCCAACAGCCTATTTTTTGCGAATTCAAGAAGACCAAATTTTAAAAACTAAACATAAAGCCGTTAATTTATTATCAAGTTTTACCAGGCATCATCCGCATCTTCCATTCATTATATCGTGTGCGCATCAGGATATCTCGTGGGTATCCCCTTCCAACGACCCGCTGCGTCACCCAGGTCCCGTGCCGAGAGCTACCGTACGTCTGAAAAATACCAACGGGTTTATTTCGAAATCTCGAACATATCATTATATTTTTTTCATTTTTTTCAATGAGAAAACCAACTTTTGCAGCCGCCTTCCCAACCTCACATAGAATATCACCGCCTGAGTTTCCGAGCCCAACAACCAGTACCCTAAATTATGGATCTTGAAAACCACGGGATTACTGTATCCTACTATATATAAAAAAATAGTGTCTGTGTGTGTGTGTATATTTGCATGCACTTCCGTTTGGATGTTCCGCACCTACAGCCTCAGGGAAGGATTTTTTCGATAGGGAAGAAGCGTGCATAGGTAAAGAAGGGTCTCGAATCGACTGCACACACATAAATGTTTTGAAAAATTGCTATTTTCGATATTAAAATTAAGTTTTTGTAAAAATCTTGGCTCCCCTCTTTGTTAGGGAGAAATTACCATACGCCGGAAAGGGGGGTGCGGCTTATAAAAAGGAAGGGAGGGCGTGGTTTTCATTTTTGGTGATCCGTTTTCGGCAAGAATTATGCAAAATCAATACTTACATAGGTCCTAGACGGGGCCAGGGTTGAAAAGCCGCGAAGCGGTTTTTCAACCCTGGTTGACTATTTATTTATTGGTAGCCATAATCATACCTTGCCCGTCTCTTTAAAACCAAATTTAAATATCTTTAAAATCATTCTTGAACCTTCTCACCTCCGATCCTCGAACGGTTTGGCCGTCTTGTAGTCGTGCGAATGGGTGATGGTGCCCTAAAGGTACTGTTTTTTCTAGATTTCTGGCTACCCCATTCCGCCCTGTAAAATCTAGTCTCTGAGCTACGCAACGCGCATATCGTAACTCGTAAAACGTTACGCCCACCGGCGCGGTGCGGAAAGTAACCGAGTACATGCCATGCCATGCCCGCTAAATACGATCGCCCACCTGGAATTTGTCGATTCCCGGAAATGTTGGTATCATCGGGTAGACATGATGCCCAGTACACACCAATACTGCATCAAAAGTTTGCGTCTCAGTATGGCCGGCTCTGAAATAGCTGCGTCAATTCTAGAGAACTCAAAAGTCAATTTTTTTGAAAAATTTAAAAAAGAAAAGTAAAAAAAACTCTTAAAAACATTCAAAGGGCGAAGGCTTTGGAAAAACCGAGGTTAAAAGCCAACCGTTTCGTCTCGACCACCCAACGCCCGGTCGTTTCGTAATCCGAAGCGCGGTACACCTGAAGCAAAGCTAAATTGAATAAATTCCTTGATTATTGCAGGGTTGTAACGCTAAAAAACTATACATCTGCAGAACCTAGAATATATCAAAAAAATTTCATGAATTTGGAAAATGGTTGCAACAAAATATGAGATAAATTAATATCTATCTATCAAGTTAATAAAGAAAACAAAAGAAACCTTTAAAACCTCGGTCTCAAACTGTATGCTCTGAACAAGGTCGAATTTCGCAGCGTACTCCTCCAAAAACTCGAGCACATCCCGGTTGCGCATGAAGTTCGCGTGCTCGCGCCGCGTCGGGAAATCGGAGAACGAGATGAACTCCTTGCTCGTGTTGAGGATCGTGCTCTTCATCACCGTGCCCACGCCTGTAAGTGGGGAAATAAAATGCAATTAAAAATAGTGCTACTTACCCTCGCATTTTTCTGCCTTATACCTCCAGATGCCGCCCCAGGAGTTGCTCTTCTCAAAGGCGGTCACCTAAAAGCCATTTTCAAGAGTTTAAACGGGTCGACAAGCAAAAAAACTATGTCTTTACGGCTCCTCGAATAGCTAAAATGCCTGCTCTTTCAAAAAAGCTAAAATTCTACCTCAATCCCGTACTCTCGAAGGGCTTTTATCGCGACAAGACCCGCAGTACCAGTGCCGACCACGCAAACATGTTGTACATCTACGGCCGCCATTCAAGGTTAGGCGAATCCAAAATAAATTGGCTGGGAAGGGGTGCTCTCTCGGAATTCGGCCTCCCTGCGCTTTCAGTCGATCATAAAGCTTATCAACCCTAATCGATCAAGCAGGCCCCAAAAAGGGAGGGGACGCCCTGCTTTTGAGCGCTTCCTCTACGAAAACTTGCCCGCTTTCGGTTCCAGGGTTGCAAAACCTAGCAAAAAATGATCATTCGCTCCTTCCCGCTGTTTGCTGTTTGTTCTTTCTGATAAACATTTGTAGATGTACGAAACTCTCGCAAAAACTTGTTCTGTAATGACAGCATTTATTCATTTTCCCCGCCCACGACATGAAATGACAACGACAATTGTTCGGATGAATATCGGACATTCTACAGCTTAATTGATCGGCTTTTCTCTTGCATCGATCGATCACGGCTCGGCAGAGTGAGAGTTCTTCTCGGTGGTCGCCTGAAAATCAGCGGGCGTTGTTAGGCTACACAGATAACCATATAATGCTTAATGTAAATGAATCAACCTGCGGCTGCGGCGAGGGATCGGCGTTCGAGGACGGCAGATCGTCGCTGAGGAGGGTCATCTGAAATTCGTAGATCTAAAACTTTGGAAATCTGGTAAAGGTATTACATCGACGGAACCACTGGTACGCCATGGCGAGATGTCGATGGAAGACGAGGGCGAGGTGTCAGCTTCGGGAGTCGAAGGGTGGCCGGATTCTGGAAATGTTCACTTTACCGAAACTTTACGACGCGTTGGCTGGCTGTCATTGTTCTATCCATTTCTTGCTTATTATTCTTTTGCCTGCTCCCACCGTCATACGAAGCCCCAGTCGATTCGCCAGATCCCGATGTAGAGAGGCTAAAAAGAAAAACTTATCAGATAACATCGACTACCTCTCTTCCTTGATCACCACCTTCGCATCGCTGGTGGCGCCGCGCAAATTGTGCCCGTAGCCGTCCTGTTCCGCTTCAAAATCCATTCGCGCAGCCGTCAAGCAGAGGGCCGAGCTGCAGAATCAATTCCCAAGAAGAACCGGAATCATAGGTGACAAACTGCATATGCTATTCTATCTTTAACCCAAATCCCGTTTCATTCAGCTTATGTGCATTCCCTCCATTCAACCAATCAATAAGATGGGGTAAAATTTATCCAAGACTACGATGCGTGACGCGAGTTGAAATACGAAAGTTAATATATGTCTACATATAGCGCGAGCAAAGTAGGATTTACAAAATAAAACATTAACAAGTGCAAGTGCGGGGTATCATGCGGGGATAACAAGAGAAATACGGGGGGAGCTAAATAGAAATTTCATCAAAGTAACAATATGAGAAAGTGTCAATGGGAAAGGGGACATATTCACAAGCTGGGCTGAGGTCAGACTTCGGGCATATGCCAAATTACTGGAAGCGATGAGATTGGTTTCCGGTAAAGTGCGAGTCGTGGAAGAACTGGCCGTTGTGCAGAGCGGCCGCGTTGAAGTACGGGATGGCGCTGACCGGGGTGAGTGGAGGAAGATGGCCGGAATGCTGTCCCGGGAATCCTGGCGACGGCGGGAACGTGAAGGCGTCGTAGACGGAAGGGCTGAAAAGAAAGGCTCTCATAAGGTTTCAGAGAAAGTCTTACCTCAATTTGTAATCGACGGGCGACTTGAAGGCGCCCGGTGAGGGAAGCGCCAGGTTGCCGGGGCTTGACGTCGAATGGGGCGACATGATGAGCGGGCGCAGCGGCGTGATCGGATAGGCCGGGCTGAGACGTGGCAGAGCTAAACAAGAAAACATATTGACCCGAAAACGATTGCATACCGTGAGCATTTTTGTGCGGCTTGAAGGTGCCGTTCAATATGGCCAGCTCCATCAACTGCTTGCGCTTCAGCTCGTCGGCGCCCTCCGGCTGCGGGGTCAGCAGCTTGCGCACGTTGCGGATGGCATTGTCGAGCTTGACCTGGGCTCGCTCCTTCGTGTCGTCGCATTGAACGAGCACGTGCAGCTCGTCTTCCAGGTGCTCCCAGTTCGGCTTGCCGCGGTATTCTTCCTCACGACGGCGATCGCGCATTGAGCCCCGTCCGCGCACCATGATCTTGCAGCCAGTTTCTTGTTCCAGCTGCTTGGCTGTCATCCCGCGCGGGCCAAGGATACGGCCAACAAAGTTGTACTAAACCAAGGATTCGCATCAAAGAACTGAATTACCTCTGGAAATTGGTCCGTCGGTACGTAGAGCTTCTTGACAACCGAGACCACTTCTCCGACCGGCTCGGGCAACTTGATCGACTCGGTCTCGAACTCCGAATGGAAGATGTGCGTGCGCACACGAGCGATTTCTAAAACGAAAAGTAAAAATAAAAAGGGACAGCCGATACCATCTTCAAGGAGGCGATCAACGTTGCGGAACACGGCCGGCAGCATGTCGAGTTGTTTCTTCTCGCGGACGAGGTCGGCCAGATATTCCATGGAAATCTCACGCGAGTTGGCATAGATGTCGGGGAGCGCTAAAAGCAAAAATAATTCGGAGGGCAAAAACAGGCTTACAATAATCCGGCGACAAGGTGTTGTTGGTGCGGTGAGACTTGACCGGTGAGCATTGGCTGGACGAGCCAACGCTGTTTCGCCCGCTCTTCGTCGACTTCTCCGGCGAGCTGGCAGGCTCGAGCACCGACGGGCTCAGCGGCAGTTTTGGGACGTAGCTCGAGCGGTTTCTCATCTGAAAAAGGAAGATATAAAAGTAACGGAGAAACGCCGTTTAAAAGTCAATAGCAAGAGCACGAAATTCAGTTTACAAAGAGTCGGGAGCCTTTAGCCGGGAAAAGGCTTAGGTAGAATTCAACGTAATCAAGCATACCAGCGGTAAAGTTATCAGAAGTGGCAATAGAAAAGATATTTTGTTTCGAGGAGATCCTGCAAGAAAAGTAATCAGTGATGATATTTTAATAAGGAGGAAAATAGATAAGCATCAAAATGAAAAAGAAATCGGCTCGTAGAAAAGAAGTAGGTAATCGTGAATTGGAAAACGGAAGAGTGAAGCGAAGATAAACCTCACCTTGCCGTCCACATGCGAAAAATCGGATCGCCTTCCCTTTGCGGGCGCCAGTGCGGCAAACTACGGTAGCTTGCCCACAAGATAAAACTTCGCATCGACCGTAAACTGGAATGAATCGTAACCAGAAGATCCAATAAAATTTGGAAACTTTTGAAGCTTTCAAAAAGTTTTAGATTTTTGTGCAGTTAATTTTGCAAAATGAAAAGCCGATGCTTCTTTTTTTTGCGAAGATTCTGCCTACATTTCAACGCTTTCAACTATAATCAATTACGCAATAATCCAGCGATTTATTTACAAGGCAAACATCAGAAGTGCTTTCATAAAAGTTCCGGCGTAACAAAGTGCTTTTTAACTGCCAGGTTGTGGCGCTGCTTCTGGATACTCGGGTTTGACGTGGCCGGGCGGTGGGAGATTGGCTTGGATGAACACGCGCATGTCGCGTAGATGGGCGTCCAGATCGTGTTCGCTTGGCTGGGAAGGGTTTGTTCTTTTGAAAATCCTTTAGACTTTTGGAGAATGCAGTTAATTCAAGTATATCGCAAATACCAACAAATTCCACATCGACATATCCGAGGCCACGGTTGCGGAATGGGCCCGTTTTTGCGTAGGGGGTGTCGGCGTAGAGTTTTCGCTGCACCATGGCCACCGCGAGGCGAGCGAGCAGGCGCGGATCGGGGAGATTGAGCTCGAACTGGCCAGCCACGGCCACCTATAGGAAAGGTTTGGCGGGAGGATGGATAACTTTAGCTGACCTAGCTTCCGCGAATAACTTGCCCCCTAAAACTGCTTTCTAAAAACCTTATTCGGCCTTTTAAATATATTTTTCAAAGGCGGTTATCGTTTAGTAGGTTTTCCGTTTTGTACCTTGACCGGTAGCGTAGGTGACATGCTGCCTGGATGCGGGGCCTTTTGGGTAGAGGCTGCAATCACCAGAAGCAAAAGCCTGCAACAAATAGGGGCATATTTTGCAAGATCCCGCGTCATTATATTGCGAAGATTTAAGAAAACTGTTGTTTTTATGGTAAAACCTCACAGCAAAAATACGGAGCTGCCGGCCATGACGGGCGACGGACTTGTGCGAGAACATTTTGGTTTTTCTCGAACCTTTTCGAGCGACGGCCGGTGATGCAAAGCTGTTCTTGGAAAATGGATGATAACCACCACCAGCCGGTACGCAAGCCGATCCGATACTTCTGCCCCTCTAACTCGACGCAGAAGTATCGGATCGGAATGATAGTTACACCATTCCAAAGCCCTTGAAACGGCGAGTTTGCAACATTCTTGAAAACTCTGTTTTTATTTAAACCCGCCATTTTACAAGGCGTTTTTTTGTAAAATTTTGCGGTTTTTCGGGATTGCACACGCGCTAATTTGCCTCAAATTCGCCAATTAAAATGGACGGAAATAAGCGTGGACGGAGTAGTCCGTTCCTTAATGTTTTTAACTCGTTGTAAAACAGCACGGGTGGAATGAAAGACATGGTTTGACGAAAATCTTGATAAACTACCGCGTGACTCGAGGTATAAATCGGTGTACTTTGTAGTAAAACAATCAGAAAAGACGCATTTATCCCAAGACACACATTGTTGGGCCAATGACGGCCAGTAGGGTCGGGTGGTCGCCAAGCGTCGATGGGGAGCGTCACGTAGCCGTAGTGCTGGGGATGATCTACGCGGGAGGCGCGGGCGGCGGGGCCGCGCTGGACGCGGAGGCCTCTTTCGGCTCGGCGCTGCTGGGCTCCTTGACGCCGTCGGGGAGGGTTGGGGCCGGCGCGTATGACGGAACGGCTTTGCCACCCTTCGACTGGCTGGCCGCGAAAGCCTCCTTCGCGCCGACGACGCTGCGGAGATGTTCCATCTCGGGCTGAAATCATGTGGGGTTCGACGACTTCAAGCAGTTCACCCACGAATTTCATATCGACATAGTTGCCGCCGTGGCCCTCGAAGAAGCCGGACTTCTCGTACTCGGTACCCTTGGCCAGCTTCTTCTGCACCATTGCCACGGCCAGACGGCCCAGTAGACGAGCATCCGGGTTGTTCATCTCGTCCAGGTTCGGGGCGGCAATCTGGAAATCAGGGGTGGAAGATGGCGCTTTCGTATCCAAGCGGGTACGCCCAGTTGAAGACGTCGAGCAGCAAGTTGATGCTCACCCGAACGGGCACAATCTGCTCATCTTGCGCCGAGTACTTCTCTTCCTGCGGGTTAGGCGGGCCGCTGGGGCGGTTGGCGGGAGAAGGGCTTTGGGCCCACATGTCCGACACCCTAGAAAAATCCGAGAAGTAGATGAACAATCCCGAAAACTCACAACAAAGCGGCGACAGCGAGGAGGAAGGCTTGATGCATCGTGTGATGATGGTGATGAGAATAGAGGGGTTTTTTTGGCAGATGATTCGTTTTTATACTAATTTTTCTATGCCAAATTGACTTACTTCCGGTTTAAACGGCGTGGATTTTATGTTAATTCCATTGAATTTACAGATCTTTTTGTGAGTCCTGCTGCCAAGGCGAAGCGGTCCCGTTGAGGTGAGCGGCTCGGGAAATACATGGCGTGTACATATGGCTCTCATATGGAAACAAACCTATTTGAGTTAAACCAGCTATATTGTTTTTTATACATATAGAAAATCGAGTTTTTCAAGGTTTCAAACCGGGTTTTGGCAGGTTTTTGTTCACATAAGTCTCGTTCTTCAACGCCAACTCGACGAATTTCGCATCAGCGTAGCCTTTTTCGAACTTTTGCTTCTCTCTCTCTCTCTCTCTCTCTCTCTCTCTCTCTCGCTATCTCTCCCCCTCTCTCTCTTTCTCTAGCTTTTTCTCTCTCACTCTCTCGCGCTCTCTCGCTCTCTACTCTCTCTGCTCTTTCTCTCTCACTCTCTCGCTCTCTCTCGGTCTCTACTCTCTCTCTGTCTCACTTCCTCGCTCTCTACTCTATCCCATTCTCTCTCCCTCTTTCTCTCTCTCTTTCGCTCTCTCTCCGTCTCTCTCTCTCTCTCTCTCTCTCACTCTCTCCTCTGTCGCGGGGTACGGTCTTTGCGCTATTTTTTTTGCAACTTTGCGAACTTGGCCCCCATTTCCCCACGCCGTTTCATGGACCCCCACTTTGTACTTACCTAGGCGCGTTTTAGAATGGACATATTTTTGGGGATACCCGTTATTTTAATTCCCAGATGCATCACGCAACAGGGTGTAGACACGCGCCAAAAACGGGGTATACAAAATTTAAAACGTGCCCCCAACATTGCAAATTCCACCTCCGAATGGGGGTCTCGCGTGGGAATTTTTGATCGTTGCCGAAACAACTAGGGTCCTGGGCCCAAGGGGGCTATTAATCCCGATTCCCCCATTCCGAACACCAGCAAATCTGCTCTGCCGAGGCCATAAACATATTCTGGGGTGGTAATTTGGAGTGGGGTGTAGCTGGGTGGAGGGGATGATTGGGCAATGATGTTGGGGGTTTATTGGAGGGGTGCAAATGCAATAGCTGGTGCATTTTTTTTATTGGGTCTTAATGCTGGAATTAGATTCCGGGTGTTCTGGCAGTGATTTTTAGAAAACCCAGTGGTGATTTTTAGGGAAAGTTTGCTCAGGAGGGATTTTTTGGACAAAAAAAACTCTTAGCAGCGAGAATTTAGGCAAAACTGGACTAGCAGACATTCTTAGGGAAAAAATACTTGCAGATATTCTTTAGGAAAAAGATGCTAGTAGAGATTTTTGAGGAAAAACCGGCTAGCAGAGATTCTTTAGGAAGAGGTGGGCTAGCGGTGATCTTTTGGGAACGGGTAAGCTAGCAGCGATCCTTGGAGGCGGGGGGTTGGCAGTCTTTCCTTAGGAAAGGGCAAGCTGGCGGAGAGGCTTTTGGAACTTGCACTGTCCTGGATCCAGACTCGTTCTACATTTTTTGGCTCGAGTTTTATAGTTTTTTTATTTCCATTCGCTCTTTAAAACCATACAACGGCGTCGGAACTCATTAATGCTCCCGGTCGCGTTGCGGCGTTGCTTCGCGGTTCTAACAGACCGCGACGCTGCCTTGCCCGCGTTGCGGGAGCTGACTAACCCAACGTAACATAATCTACTTCCTTTCGTGCAAGCTAAGCAGGCACAAAACTCACTGAAACGTCACCGATTCGGGGGCGTGGGTTGACGAGAGTTCTCGACCAAACAACCCCTCAATTAATTCCTCTATTTCCAAAATAACACCCTTTACAGGGCTTAGAACAGCACGAAGCGCTTGTTTTTGAAGTCAAGGAGACCAGAAATTGGCTTGAACATTTTTTGGGTTGCAAAAACATGTTTAATTTGGGTTTTTTCAGGCATCGCAACGCAAAAAAAAAAGATAGTTCCCCGAGCTTGTATTGGTAAAAGATGTCTATGGATCCGTTTGCGTGAGTTTTTATATATCTCTCGGTCTCTCTCTCTCTCTCTCTCTCTCGGTCTCTCTCTCTCTCTCTCTTTCTCTCTCGCTTAACCTTAATTCCAGACCCATGAGAAACTAAATAAAGATGCTGTAAGTGGACCAACAATAATTTAGCTTTCATTTTGATTTAATTTTACATAATTTTTATTCTTTTTGTGTAGTCTTTGTATATTTTTTATAATCTTTAGTTTCTGAGTGCAGAATTGGGTTACTGTAACCGTACACCACATTTAAACACCCTAGATTTTATTTTTTCTTTAGCAACATCCCGACAGGTGCGAGCCTCGTCTTGGCCGCCATATCCATGCCCCTCTACGCGTCGATACTCTGGATTATTGTAGCGGAACGGCGGAGAAAAGGGCAATTTTCCACGCTATTTTACGCTCTTACTTTGTCGCAGGTAAGTATTACGCTGGTAGTTAATACTGTCGACCCTACACTAACATTCAAAAAGATTGATGATTTTTAGGGATTTCTCGACCTCTTTGCCATGATAAATTATCTGCTCTTTACATATGGGCGTAGTTTTCAATTCTTGATGGATTTCTATTGGTTGTTTCGGTGAGTTGGGACTTCAATCGGCCTTTAAAAGTCCTAGTTTCCTAGTAAAAGTCAGAAGGGTGAAAAATCTCTGCTAGTTTGCCATGTCGTTTTGAGTTCAAGGGCTCCATCCCTTTAAAGCAGCAATTCCGTCTTGGTCTCCAATTACCAAAAGATCTCTGCTTGATTGCCTTCTCCCCTCCTCGCTGTCACTGTCCCTTTAGAATACTTTAATTCCTAGAGACACCTATCTACCTTCATGGTGTTATACCTACATCTATGTATGCCTATACCTCCGTCTTGTCGGTGTCTCTCTTATCACTCTCCATCGTTGTATCGCTATTTGCAAGCCGACAAGCCGTCTCTACAAGGTAAGTCTCTCTCACGCTGTCTCTCTCTCCCTTACTCTCTCTCTGTCTGTCTCTCTCCTCGCTGTCACTCTATCTCCCTTACTCCTTCTCTCTCACTCACTCCTCCCCCCCTCTCTCTCTCTCTCTATCTCTCTCTCTCTCTCTCTCTTCCATGAATACATTTCAGTCGATGGCTGACCTACCTATGGTTACGGTATGCGGAGTGCATTATGGATTGGGCTGCCTCGTCTCAACACCTCTATTCCTTCAGAGAGCCGTATTCAACATGTTGCCCGATATGATTGATGTGGTGGTTGTCCATCTGCCGCTGGCGGTAGGTTTTTAAAAGCTGAAAACTGCCCTGGCTTTCGTACTCAATGAATTCAGCGGTTTTTATACTTAACTTTCCGCGTTTTCAGGCAAATACAATGCAGGCGGCCGTCATCTGCTTGATGGCGACTGCATTTTGTGTTTTCTGCTATGCGGCCATTATTACTGTACTCTCCAGAGGAGAGCACTTTTCGGCAAAGTACGCGGGAGAGAGAGTGTGTGTGAGAGGGAGAGAGAGTGTGTGTGAGAGGGAGAGAGAGAGCGAGAGAGTGAGAGCGAGAGAGAAGGAGAGAGACGTTGACGTAACGTCTTGGCGCCGCGTTTCAAAACATGAAAGTTCCAGAAAAAGAAGCCTCCAAATGTCGACAGAGTTGAGGCTGACGATACAAGTATTGGCCCTGGGAATGGCCTTCTTTCTGCTGGCCGCCCATTTTATCATTATGTGGACGACGACGTTTTGGAATGCGGTACGGTGTCTTTGTGTCTCTCGCTCGCTCTCTCTCTCTCACTCTCTTCTCGTTCTATCTCGTTCTCTTTCTACCACTTTCGCGCTCTCAGACACTCTCTCACTCTCTCTCTCCCTCTCTCTCTCTCCTTCTCTCTCTCTCTCACGTTTTTTTGAAGAAGCTGAAGTCCGCAGCATCCCTATCTTGCCTTCACAGGTCCTTTAAAAAAGATAAGCAGTAGAGGGAGCAGTAGAAGTTCTGCAAGAATCTAGCTTTTTTTCAGGGGAAGATCTTCCAAGATACGTTGCGTGCGTGGTACGTCCTGTGGAGTGCCCTGTTGTCTCTGATCCAGCCCTACACCCTCCTCCTCTCCAACCGAATCCTCCGCAACAAAATCTTTGGCGTTTTCCGGGCCCCGAATCGCCCCGGCGGGTCCCGAGGTGAACATATTGAAGTGCGGGTGTCGATTGCTACTAGCAGAATTGCTTCCACCTCATAGTTTTGTGGTTTAAAGGAACGAGCAAGGCTTGGCTAGGGATTTTTTGGTACTGGCCTGGTAGCGGGGGGGGGGAACCAATCTTTCCCAATAATGCGGCATGGTCCTTTAACAAATTATGAACTATTTTATAGCATTTTACACAGTTTTTAGATGTAAAAGACTCATAGAAATTTTTTACTTTTTGCTCAAACTGTATTAAAAACCAAAAAAAAAATAAAATTTTACAATTTTTAAAAATATTTAAAGTATTTAACTGAACTTTTTAGTAATCAATAACTACTAAAAAGAGTATAAAATTCTACTATATATTATTTTGACAGTTAAATATGAAAAAAAATCCTTACAAATACCATGGTCATACCTTTCCCGTCCCGTTAATAATAGGTATTTTTATTTTTTTATTGTAATTACCATATTTCGCGGGTATTCGTAACATAAACTTTGAAAACTTTATTGCTACAGTAATACGAATTTTTCGCAAACACTACAAAGCTCTACGGTATTGCACTGGAAGGGGTACACTAGCGGAATATCACAAAAATGACGAAGAAGAAAGCGGCCGGAAATTCTGATTATCTTAGCCGTTAAAAAAAAGTAAACATTATTTTTGTAGTTTTCGGCGCTTTTTGATTTTTTACGTTTTTGGGGTTTGGAGGTTTTATTTTTTTTTGTTTTTGATTTGGCGTAAAAATATTTTGGAAGCATACGGTACTATGGGTCATTTATAGAAATCTGCAAATTTGCAAAAAAGTGGGTAAAAAGGGGTTTTTATAAAAATAGGGCGAATACTAGCGAATCGAGGTGAATGACGGAAAACTCCGGTTTTCCACACCGTGGCCTGGCTACCGTAACCCCAGCCTAGTTGACGGGGGTGCCGACGGCGCTGCTGATGCGTTTGAAGCTCGGCGAGCAGGTCGGGGAGGTGCCACGGAGGAAACGACTGAAATGGGAGGGTTACGGTGGGGATTGGATGGGGATACGCTACGGTATGTTACGCTCCGTTACTTTGCACTACGCTATGCTATGCTACGTTATGTCGCGTTAAGCTACGCTACGTTGCGTTTCGGTACGTTACGCGGCGACATTGACGCGGCGCTACGTGAGGTTACGCTACTCACGTAACATTGGTGACGTTACGCTACTTTAAATGGCGCTACACTACGTGACGCTGCATTCCGCTACGTGGCGCTATGCTACGCGACGTGGCACCCGCTACATTACGTTACGCTACAATACTTACGCTCAGCTACGGTATGCTGCGCTCGGTCCGTAAACGCAACGCTAACTACGTTACACTCCATTTTTACGTGACTTTAAGCTACGTTGCGCCGCTCTGCGTGACATTCCGTTACGTTACCTTACCATACGTTACGCTACCTGGTTACGGTAGGAAACATTTACTTACGCTCCCTCTTCCTCAGCGATAGCCTGGCGGGTGGCAGAATTCAGGTAGGGTGAATTGGCACGAGGAACGGGGCTGGAAATGAGCGGGTAAAGAGGGATTCTCTGTCTCACCCTCACGCTCTCACGCTCTCTCTCTCTCTCTCGCTCTCTTTCTCTCTCTCTCTCTCTCTCTCTCTCTCTCTCTCTCGCTCTACACTCACCCAACCGGCAGTCCAGTCTGCTGGTTGTACTGCTCGGCGGCCGACTCGGTCGAGTACAAGTTCATCGGCGAGTTGTACTGGAATACACAAGTAGCGTTAAGATCCCACCCTAAATGGTGCTACCTGCAAGTGATGCACAGAAGCTCCGGGCGACAGTTCGCGGCGTGTCCTCGGCGATGGGGCTTGGTAGCGCTGCTTGGAGGCTGCAAAGAATTATAAATTGTCCAAGCCTAATCCAAAGAAGACATATATGAGGCTAAGCCTAAGCCAAGCCTAAGCTAAGCCTAAGCTAAGCCTAAGCTAAGCCTAAGCTCAGCCTAAGCTAAGCCTAAGCCAAGCCTAAGCCAAGCCTAAGCCAAGCCTAAGCTAAGCCTAAGCTAAGCCTAAGCTAAGCCTAAGCTGTCTAAGCTAAGCTTAAGCTAGGCCTAGGCCTGCGCCTAAGCCAGCGCCTAAGCCTCAGCCTACGGCTAAGCTATTACCTGGCGACAACGATCTAGCCTTCTGGAAGGGCGACGGCTGCCCAGCTCCGCCTCGTTGAATGTAGCTCTGGTCATTGTAGTTGACATCCGGGGCTTAAGACTTAAAGTTCAGGTTTCTCAAAAAAATGACCTACCAAATTGGGCTCGCCTTCCAGAACCGGCTCCAGCTCCGGCGCCACCGCTACCGTATCCAGAATTGGCTCCAGCTCCAGCCCCGCCACCGTAACCTCCACCGCCGTAGGGAGACCCTCCGAAGGGGGCGCCGCCAGATCCGTGGCTACCGTGCCCCTGGCCGCCGTGGGACCCGTGGGAGGCCCCTGGATTTGAGGTTTAAAGGGCGGGCAAGGTATTTTTATAGATTTTGTTGACTTTAAGTGGATTATGTCTGCTTCACAGTCCATTTTAAGCAGCACCTACCCGATCCGAAGCCTCCAGCACTGGCCCCAAAGCCGGAATCGAGCGGGCGGAGGGCTCCCTGGTTTCTGAAAAAAAATTAATGTATTTTGACTTGATCTAAATACCGTATGATCATAATTAAAATGGAATTTAAATTAATTAAAATTAAATTAATTAAAATTAAATTTATTTAGATATCCTATTTGCATCCTGGGGTAATAAACATGGCGCAATGCATAAAAATCATCGCGCCGAGACTAATACGGGCAGAGGCGCCCTCCACCTTCCAGCCCTCCCTCTACTACCCTTCTCTAATATTACCCTCATTCCCTGCAACATCTTTTTGGGATGTCATGGAATTCGGGGGTGCTCGTGCCAAATCGCGGCTCTAATCGGTAAAGATTTTTAGTGGATCTTGCAGATTTTAACTTCCTTGGTACTAGACTGATTGCGGGGGGTTAGCAGAGATAGCTTTTTACCAGTAATTCATTGCTGCCTTATAACGAGATATTTTAAATTTATTAAATGGTTTTTCGATATCAATAATTTACAAAAAAAAAATTGTAAAAGTGTTCGAAATTTTTTTTGGTCCAAAATGTATGAAAAATTGCCAAAAAGATCAAAATCTTCGAATTCTCAAATTAAAAAAATATTTGGCATAACTTTCTAGCAATAAAAATTACTAGAAACACTAATAATGCATTGGATATTACCAGCATACCAACGAAAAAAAACCAAAGTTGGTGTTCCCCGCTAACAGTCCAGTACCCCATGTTTTACAGCTCGCCTGGAGTCGAGATTCCCCCGCCAACGTTCTCCACTCCGGCCGAGACATTCGAAAAGCAACCGGCACCCCGGGATTCACTGAAGTGCAATGGGAAGCCGTCCAAAGAGAGAATCAAGCAAATGAAGAGAGAGAAGAAGAAGGAGGAAGCAGAAAAGGCGAAAGCTACTCTCGCCATCGAAAGCTGGTTGAAACGGGTACGTTCTCGACGGTCCGTGAATACCGAAGTGGCTTAGATAGGGCAGCCCGACCTCAAGAATGTCGACAAGGATCGATACAAGGTATCGATTGGTGGGGTATCTACCCATGTTTATATATCAGCTTCCCATTGGCCTAAAGGTGTGTAAAGTATATTTTTAAATCTGGTGCGATTCCGAATTTACGTCATTTAGATATCCTCGCCGAAAAAGATCGACGAGCCGGAGGTAAACAACGAGAATCGAGACAAGGTATTGGGAGATCGAGCCTTATAAGATAGAAGCTTCTTGCGCATTATCTGCTAGGTTTTGTTCCATCCCGAAGTCCGGACGGCACTTAAAAACGCTTGCTTTTTAGCCTGGAAAGGAAGTGCGCAAATCGGCAGAACAATGTGATGCTACCCAGAAGTCCAAGATCGAACGACCTGTCTCCCCTCCGAAATGTATTCAAATCACCTAAATAGGATCTTTTGCAATATCGGGGGGGGGGGAAGAAGACTCAGTTTTCTAAGGACCCGATTTTGCTGGCATAATTAGATTGAACATATAGTACCCCTTTGTCGACAAAAACTTGAAATTTTTGAAAAATTTCTGTAGGACTCGAGATACCCCTCCCCCAGACGAATTTATTATGAATTTCTGGACTCATAGTACAGGGTGTCCCAACCCCCCCCCCCTAGCCGGCCGCAGAGGTGTCCGATTTTTACGATTTAGGTATCTATCGAAAGCCCTTGAAGGAAGTCCAGCACGTCTTGCCGATTTTCGAAATGTCGAAATTTTTTGCTCGGTTTTCGGCATTTTTCAAGCCAAAAGCACAGGCTTTTTTGTTAAAAACGCAATTTAACCGGTTTAAGCGCTGTCCAAGCTGTGTTTTGGCAAACGGCTTTCAAAAAGCTGCCGTTGGATTGCCAGGAAAGACGTAAAAATTCTTAAATTGCGATTTTTGTAAAAAACCCCCCTGGCAAGGATAACACCAGAAAATCCGTCCGTTTTGCAAAAACATGAGTAGCTGATGGAAAAATTTCAAAATTATGAAAATCGAAGAGCCGTGCTGGACTCGCCGTTCCGAGAGCTTTCGATAGATACCAAAATCGTAAAAACCGGACAGGTCTGCGGCCAGCTAGGGGGGGGAGGGATTTTTTTTGGGACACCCTGTATAAAAATTCGACGCCCCCCCGTTAAGACTCTACTTTACCCCCCCCAGACGCCCCTTTTCTCTGCGCCCTCTCCCCCAGACCTACTATCTCTTCGCCTGCGCCCTCTCCCCCCCAGGCCTACTATCTCTTCGCCTGCGCCCTCTCCCCCAGGCCTACTGTCTCGCCTGGGGGGGGGTAAAGTAGAGTTTAGCCGAACCACCGCTTGCTTTAGTCATCGACTGGGCCCTTGGATTTTCGACGTTCGACGGTCGGTTCGAACCGCGCGATTCGATGAAATGTAATGGGAAAAGACGGTATAGCCAAAAAGTGGCCGAGTCGACCAAGGAGACACGGGCCAATGCGGAGACCGCCGCCGACAGATTTGTGGCATATCTCGATCGGGTAGGGTCGAGGCATAATGTTGCAGTGGGTGTGGCTTTTAGATAGGGCCTGTCGGTATTTTGAAAGAATACGAGTCGAACAAGGCCTATCTACCGCCCAACGTCAAATGCGAGACGGGCCGCCGAAATGCCGACAAGAATCGATACAGGGTTTCTTTGACTTGAGTGCAGTTTACCAGCCGACCCCCACCTACCGTATCTCGGCTCCCTGTTCATCTACAGGTGTGTAAAGTATACGAAAATGTTCGCCTTGCTCTGGCGAGTATTTTGGTATATTTTCCATACCTGTAGATGAACAGGGAGCCGAGATACAAAAGTTCGGCGCCGGCTGGGGGGTAAACTGCACTCTAACCGTATCTTTTCGTTAGGTACGAGCAAAAGATTTTTGAGGATGTGATGTGCCTGGACACGACCCGAGTCGTCCTAAAACCCAAGTTCTGCCCGTACACCGCCGACGACGGTGACTACATCCATGCAAACTGGGTCCGCGGCGACGGTCTCGAACGGAAGTACATCGCCACTCAAGCCCCACTTCCACACACCGTCGAAGACTTTTGGCGCATGGTTTTACAGGTCTGTGGCTAACCCCGACTAGTGAAAAATCAAAAACCCTATTACCTCAAATGAGAGAGAACGAGAGATTAAGACGGAACGCGCGACAGAAAGGGACGCAGAGAGAGAGAGAGAGAGCGAGAGAGAGAGCGCGAGAGAGAGAGAGCGAGAGAGAGAAAGAGATAAAAATGACCAAACCCCCCCGCCCCACCGCTAACAGTCCAGTGCCTCAAAAGTCGGCCCCGTTAATGAAATGACGTTTAGGTAGAGGCAAGGATTATCATCTGCCTGGGCGAGTCGGGCGCGAAAAATGATTTCGGATTGTCGGTGTTTTGGGGGATGGACGGCCGCAGGCAGATGAGATATGGAAAAGTGGTCGTCGTGATTGAGGATGTGGGTGATGACATTGCTGCAGTGGAACATCCGCTTTTGAGGTGACAAGTTATCCGAAGGACGGCCTGCGTGTCTACAGGATCAAGGTGTCGCTGGGAAGCGCCGGAATCGGGAGGTCCTTTGAGCTGGTCCACTGCCCGAAATGGCCTGATAGAAGGACCGCATCATCCGATCGATGTGTGATGAAAACCTTGGAGCGGTTGAAGGTAACACCATTTTTCAATTCTTGTGCTTTAGCGGGGGGAGCGGCCAGGGCTGGGGGTTAGCGAAAGATCCGAAGTTCTTGCTCGCGAGCTCTTATCGGTCGCTCGCTGCTGCTTACTCTAATCCGGCGTTATGAAAATATCCCCCAAAATCCAGCCATAATCCCGACAGCCAAAATCCCGATAATCGAAATCCCGACAGCCAAAATCCCGATAATCGAAATCCCGACAGCCAAAATCCCGACATTCAAAATCCCGACAGCCAGAATCCCGGCCGCCAAAATACCGACAGCCAAAATCCCGATAGCCATCCCGACTGCCAAAATCCCGACATTCAAAATCCCGACAGCCAAAATGTGATATTTTCGGCCATTTTACCCATAACTGGTTTGAAAATCGGGGGTTTCTGGGTGACGGAATTTTGAATGTCGTAATTTTGGAGGTTTCGCATCCCCTGATAATGCAAAAGCACCGTTTTCTGCTGATTTGAAACTCGGCTGAAAATTTGGATGAGATTGCGGTTACGCAGTGATGTTTAGGGCGCGTGTGATGGGGACATCCAAGACAAACACACAGACATAAGGTGGCGGCGTGACAGGAAAACGGCGCGTGGCCGCAAAACGGCCGTTCCACTCCTCCACTCCGTGGCTGGGAAAACGGCGGTCATCCAGTGTTTGGCTGGAATCGACGGGACTGGCACTCTGATTGCCGTTGATATGATCGTCACCCGCATCCTCAACGGTGACATCGTATGGGTAGGCTATTCGCGCATTGTAGCCAGGCTTCAACCTCATCTCCTAGGTGCTGGACGTGTTCGAGGAGTTGCGCGGCTGCCGGGCCAGCGCCATCCAGACATCCCAGCAATACCTCTTGGTCTACGCCACCGTTTTCGACTATCTCAGGGCACGGCCTCGACTTTTTCGACTTTTTTGGTGCTGGTACCTTAGCGGGGGGTAACCACGTTTAAAAACGATTTTTATAGTGTTTTTAGCATGGGTTCAAGAAGAAGAAAATCCCCCCCCGCTAATGAACCAGCACCCAATTTTTAGGAAAAATTCGGTGCAGACCGTTACCAAGCCCAGTACGACAAGTTCAAGCAGCTGCTCGAGAAGATGGGCTGATGAGGAGAAGCTCCATTCCGTGATACACCAAATTACAATACCATTAATGCGCTACCATTACCACCGATTAATTTAATGTGTGACTCAATAAATTCGTTCGATTATTCCGGATGACCCGCATTGGGCATTAAAGGTGCCTCGAAGGTATGCGAATACAGCTTTTGGGTATAGATCGGATTTTCTAGGGACTTCGCCGCCGCGCCGCGACACGCAACGCGCACAGCGCTTTTACGCTGTGACCTGTCGCAATTCATTACGCAAACAAGTGTGTAAAGCCGGGAAAATTCGCAAAAATTTTCAAAAATTCAAGTCCTTATCGTGTCGTAATCGATTACGCTAGGTTTTAGGCAGCGTGTACGGCTATACAATCCAAAATTTTTGACCGTGTGCCCGATTTTTATGGATTCCGCGGCGCGGCGCCGCGACACGCAACGCGCACAGTTTCACGCTGTGACGCGTTCGAAATACGTGACGCAATGAAAGTGTCGAAAGCGGGAAAAATTCGCAGAAATTTTCAAAAATTCAAGTCCTCATCGTGTCGTAATCCATTACACTAGGTTTGAGCGGCGTGCGCGTTGCCTCTCGCGGTCGCGGCGTGGTAAATCCATAGCCCTGGCTTGCCCCTCCCTTTAAAGGCTTGGCGCCACCAGGCGGACTCACCCAAAAACGCCACCCCCAAACGGGGCGTTCGGGTTGAAGTTGGGCGGCGGATTGCCGGAGGACCACGACGTCGAGCTGTTCACGTTGTAGTTGTCGGCTGGGGTGGTGCCCGGCTAAAAAAATAAAATTTGACGCGCACGCGGCGCGTAAGCGCGGTCATACAGCGTGCTAATATATATTCATGCGTTGTCTGTGCCTTTAAGATATTTTCTAGGCTAGGCAAGCTAGCAAAAAGCCTTTAAAAGCCGTTAAAAAACTCACCCCGGTGGCCGTTTTGCTCTCGCTCTTCGACGATTCAAAGTGTTGGTAGTGTTGGGTGTTGGGCCCGGTGGGGAAAGCCGGGAACGGGAGCATCGGCTGAAATTTCGGTTTTCAACAAAAATTTCGACAAGCGAAAATGCCGACAAAAAATTCCATCAAATTTTTCAAACAAAATATCGAAAAGCCAGGGCCCCGCGAAAAAAAAGCCGACAGCTAAGAGTGTTCTGAGTTTTGTTTGAGTTATCTCGAGTCCAAGCGTTTGTTTGGGTGTCGGCATTTTGCCAAGATGTGTCGGTATTTTGGATGTCGGCATTTTTAACGTCGGCATTTGGCTTTGTCGTTATTTTCCTTTGTCGGCATTTTTAACGGGACACTACTAGAACGATATCCTTTGCCAAATTTTACGTTCCGCGCCACGCAACGCGCCGCAACGCTTGCCGAACGTTAAGTGGAAAATAATCCGGGTACGCAATATAAATTTTTAGGTGCCACGGGCGTAGCAAAATCCATAAAAAATGCCTAGCCTTCCCGACCCCTTTAATCCTTACCATCATCTGGCCGTTGAACCCGGGTGGAGGATTTCCGCTGCTGAAACCAATAAAGTTTTTCAATCTAGGATTTTGATCATCTACCTCCACTCGCTGCGGCTGGACACGTTGTAGTTGTCGGCCGGGTTGACGCCGGGCTAGAAATTGGGTTTTTTTGGCTCTAAATAAATAAAACGATGAATAAGATGCAATTTAAGGCTCAAATTCCTCAAATTGTCTTTGCTAGCCTACCCCGGTGGCCGATTTGCTTTCGGTTTTGGAGGATTCGTGGTGTTGGTAGTTGTAGTTGCCGCCGGGGCCCGGGGGTGGGGGCAGGGCAATGGGTGTGGCCTAAAATTTCGTTTTTTTGTGGTTCAAAGGGACTGGCAAGGCATGGCTATGGATTTTTAGTGACATGTTAACCCACTGAAATAGCGTTCCCTCCAGTCGACTCGGACTTGCTGAAGCTGGAGTTTGTAGTCTCGTATTTGGTCGAATAGTTTTGAGCGGGAGGGCTGAAATTGAAGGATTTTTCTATGTATCTCTCTCTCTCTCTCACTCTCTGTCACTATCTCTCTCTGACTCTCACTCGCTCTCTAATTCTCTCGCTCTCTCTGTCACTCCCTCTCTCACTCTCTCACTCTCTCTCTCTCTCTCTATTTCTCTCTCGCATTCTGTCTCTCGATCTCTCACTCTTTCTCTAACTCTGTCGCTGTCGCTCGCTCGCTCGCTCGCTCTCTCTCTCTCTCTCTCTCTCTCTGTCTCGCTCTCTCTCACCTGGTAGCCTTGAGACTCGGATTCTCCCAAGCCGACCTCGACGTGGCCGACACCGAAGTCGAGCGCCCGTCATTCTAAGCAAATTTTGAGCATAAATATAACCGAAAAGCCATAGTACAAATGAACCTATTTTTTAAAGTAACTCACAATGTCCGTTCCAAACCCCTGGACGTGTAGTTTGTTGTCGGGACCTTCGTGGAGACTCCAGGGGATGGCTGGCGGATGGGACATGAATCTGGAAAAGCCAGGCTAGCAGGGATTCTTGGGGGGAATTTCGATGACCGCACGATTTTAATTCTGCTTAGGCTAGGCTTCGTGAGCTTGTCTTATGCTTGGCTTAGGCTTATATCTGCTTAGGTCTGGCTTAGGCCTGGCTTATGCTTGGTTTAGGCTTTACTTAGACTCGGCTTAGTCTTCGCTTACAAGGAGTCGTTTTTAGGTGATATTGGAGTTTTTGAACGAGACCTAGCTAGTTCGATAGAGAAAAAAATTCTGAGCAAGATGTCGTTTTCCAAATCTGCTAACCGTGTATTGTATTCGATAAAAATTAATTTGAAAATCCATAATTTTGCCATCATTTCTCAGCTGATCCGTAGCTTTGGCTCGGGGTGGTGCGCGTGAACATAGCCCCCTTCAGACCCTTGAACCACCATGATCGCGTGGCATATTGGTAGTGCATTTGCTTCACAAGTTTTATCTTTTTTTGCCTTCGGGTTCGACTCCTAGCTAGTGAAACTCTTTTGCTTTTTGCTTTGTGATGCCAAATATGGCCTCAATAGCGTTAAAAACCAAAAAGCAAAACAGCTAATCAAAAAAAGTTCCGAACCCGCGAGCATAATTTTGCAAAAGTTTGATAGGCGCCTGCACTATCCACTAGGCCACCATCTCATGCGGATGCTGGTTCGCGCTGTGGGCTATGTCCCGGGCCTGATCCATGGGTCGCAGCCTGACGTCCAGGAATTTTTTCATTAAAATTAATTTTTATTGAATACAGTATACGGTTAGCAAATTTGGAAAACGACATCTTGCTCAGAATTTTTTTCTCTATCGAGCTAGCTAGGTCACGTTCAAAAACTCCAATATCACCTAAAAACGACTCCTTGTTAGTCTTGGCTTAGGTTTGGCTTAGACTTGGTTTAGGCTTTAATTAGTCTCGGCTTAGTCTTGGCTTATCCTTGGCTTAGACTTTGCTTAGGCTTCGCTTATGCTTGGCTCTTGCTTGGCGTAGGCTTAGGCCTGACTTGTAAATTTCGTGTCTTGCGCAGCATTTTTTGGTCCATTCCTTAAAGAATCTCTGCTAGCCTGCCCCGCTTAATTTAGCGACTTTGAGCAATAGATAAAAACAAATTTAAATAAAAATTAGAGCTGGTAGAATAAGTAAAGAAGGGAAAATGGAACGAACCTTCTGAGATTCATGTTCAACTCCGTGGCCCGACCATCAATCTCCTTTGAGCATCAGCTACCCCGGAGCATCGCCTCCCGGCCACCTACAGAATTTCCGTAATACACCAGTTTACAGACGCGGAAAATCACCTGATCGACAATATCGCCATTCTGCAGGCCAGCCTTGTCTGCCAGGGAGTCTCTTTCCACCTACACTTCCGGATCATCAGAAAAACTAAAAGTTGCCCCTCCTACCGTAGCGATGACGACATCTTGGCCTTGTGATCGGACGGTGAATCCCCATCGGATCGATGGGTCGCTGCGCGACATACGGCAACTGATGGTCTCGTACGACATGGCTGAAAAATGGTACTAACGTCAGCTACGCCCGTAAACTATTTTGAGCGCCAAAAGTTTGCAAAAATATTTAATTCCTCCTGATTTGTCAATTTTGGACAAATTTTCAGAAAAAAGAGCGAAAATTTCAAAATTCTTTGAGCTAAAAATTTCTTAAAAATCGAAAACTGGGAAAAACAATAAAAAAAATTTATAATTTGGTAGACTGGAGCTCAGGCTGAATGAACTTCCCCGCCCCCCTGTTAATGAACCAGAACCGCATTGGCCCGCCGGGGCAACAGGTACGGTAAGCTCCAAAAGTGATACATTTTGCAGTAGGTGGTTCCTCGAGTCTGCTCGCACTAATGGTAGGCCCCTGGTTACTGTAGCAAATATAGGAGGAGGCCATCGAATCGCAATATCGAAATAATCACTGTGGAAGATCGCGATTTTAGAAAGCGAACAATGCGGGTCCCGAGGCGACGAAATCGGATCCGCCCCGGCTGACAGCAGTTTTTAGGTTAACTAGGGGTCGTTGGGATGTCTTGATCTCTCTCTCTCTCTCTCTCTCTCTCTCTCTCTCTCTCTCTTCCACTCTCTCTCTCTCTCTCTCTTCTTTGTTTTTCTTGTCTCAATCTGTCCCCCATGTCAACAACCGTATGTTTTCCATTCCATTCCAAACCTCTTTACGACTTTCACATATGTTTTTCGGGTTTTTGTGCCCCCCACAGGGCAGTCTTAGGGGGTTTTCAACATTTTAGGGCAAGCTAGCATGGATCGTTGCGGAAATTCTTAAAATTTGAATACCTCTTGAGCTGGAGGGAAACTAGCGTAGATTCTTTGGGAAATTGATAAAATTTTCGAGAATTTTGGATGCTGGAAGAAAACTAGCAACGTTCCTTAGGGAATCGGGAGCGCAAGTGAGCTGGAGGGGTAGCCAGCAAAGACAATTGTGGAAAAGCAAAGACCTGAAAGCACTTTTAGGCATAAATTAGCTCCGTTTTTGGGCAAGCAAGCAGAAAGCTTTGAGGAATAATATCGGTAGCAAGATGTGAGGTACGGCAGGTTTTCCAGAACAGATTTTAGAGATCAGAAAAATGTTTTTGTTGCAATATGGGGGGGGGCGAATTTTTTATAGTCTCGGAACTGCCTAGTAAAGCAAACGCAAATATTTTAATGTTGGTTCTATCAAAATTTAGCTTTAAAAATTCGAATTTATCGAAAACTCGATGGTTTTTTAGAAAAAAGTTTTTCAAAGAATTGTGAAGTTTCCGCGTTTAGGAATAAAAAAAAGTGGTTAGAAACACTGGCTCTATTTTTGTTAGAAAAATTGGATACGAAAGAAAAATTGCCCCCCCCTGATAATCCAAAAGTACCGGAAAGGTCAAATATCTAGAAGTAGCCAAAAAAACGATCAAAAAAAAGTAAAAAGAAAACATTTATAGCCGTCCAAAAACGACAATTTTCAGAGGCACTTTTTAAAAATGTCAAAAATTTACCTAGGATACGGTAATGAATCGATAACCTAACGACCTGAAACAACAATGCGGAATCGAAGGAAATGGGAGCTGTGTGCGGGTCCTTTTGGGCCCTTTGTGGGCCCCTTTTGGACCCCCAAAAAACCCGGGAGCACCAAGTGTCGGAGGGGAAAAGGAGGGGATTGTTTGAGCCTCAACCTCCCCGCAATGGGACAGCTGTTCCTCCTCTTTTTCGAGATTTTCCACCGCCCTCCTCTTTACCTACTTCTCCTCCTCCCCCTCATCTCATTCTTTTTCCTGTTCTTTTGTGGGTACATCTGCCCGAGGGGGGACCAGTAAACACCCAGCAGCTACCAACACCCACAGCAAAATGTTCACGAAGGTTCCAGGACGGTTTAGAAGGTTTTAAAGGGACTGGTAAGGCAAGATCGGGCGCCGACGATAAGCCTAAGCCAAGCCTAAGCCAAGCCTAAGCCAAGCCTAAGCCAAGCCTAAGCCAAGCCTAAGCCAAGCCTAAGCCAAGCCTAAGCCAAGCCTAAGCCAAGCCTAAGCCAAGCCTAAGCCAAGCCTAAGCCGGCCTAAGCCAAGCCCTCAAGCCAAGCCTAAGCCCGCCTGCCAAGCCTGCCAAGCCTAAGCCAAGCCTAAGCCAAGCCTAAGCCAAGCCTAAGCCAAGCCTAAGCCAAGCCTAAGCCAAGCCTAAGCCGCTTAAGCCAGCCTAAGCCAAGCCTAAGCCTGAGCCTAAGCCGCTTAGCCAAGCCCAGCCAGCCTAAGCCAAGCCCTAAGCCAAGCCTGCCCGGGCCCTAAGCCGCTGCCTGGCGCTTGCCAAGGCCAGCCTTAAGCCGCGCCGCTAAGCCAGCTAGAAGCCGGCCTGGCCCTGCCGCCTAAGCCAAGCCTAAGCCGCTTCCGCTAAGCCAAGCCCTAAGCCGGGCCTGGCCAAGCCGTAGCCAAGCCAAGCCCAAGCCAAGCCCTAAGCCAAGCCTAAGCCAAGCCTAAGCCAAGCCTAAGCCAAGCCTAAGCCAAGCCTAAGCCAAGCCTAAGCCAAGCCTAAGCCAAGCCTAAGCCAAGCCTAAGCCAAGCCTAAGCCAAGCCTAAGCCAAGCCTAAGCCAAGCCTAAGCCAAGCCAAATCCCAGCATACGCCTAGCTAAAGCCAAGCCTAAGTCTCCCTAAGCAAAGCCTAAGCCAAGCCAAACCTAAGCCTACGCCTAAACGAAGCTTAAGCCTAAGCTAAGCCTATGCTAAGCCTAAGTTTATACGAAGCCTAAGCCATGTCTAAGCCTAAGCCTAAGCCAAGCAGAACCCAAGCCTAAGCTAAAGCTGAAGCCTAAGGGGACTGTGAAGTCGAAATCCCTATTTTATGTCGGTAAAACATCAAAATCCGCTTTATCATATGGCCGCCAACAAAGTATCAAATACCCGTCAATCAATAAAAACGAAAAATATGATACAAACTACTGAAAAATATGTATAGAGAACCGCTGTGGAAATGGTCAAAATCCCAAACGAAAACTATTTAGAATTTCGTGAACCCGTCTTCGGTGTTTTGGGTGGGTTTTCGGTGATGGAGTTCGGGGGCGTCGAGCGTCGGATAGACCTGGAAGTTTCAATTTTTTTAAGGGGACTGGAAAGGTAAAAACGGATGTCACTGATTTTGGCAATACTCCAAATGCTGTTTTTCTCGCTTTTTATGCTTTAAAGGCATTGTGAAGGCAAAAATTGGCATTATTACGATGCTAGAACCTAGTCGGCTTAAAACTACGTCCGTTTTTGAAGGTTTAAAGGGATTCAGAAGGCAAAAAGTAGTGGACTCCGTGGAATTTTGTCGAAACTTTTTTAAGGTATCGCAAGGCAAAAATAATACCTTGTGTATCGATCCGTTCTCCTCCTCGCCCTTCTTTGGCAAATCATCCAAATGCATCTGATCCTCTCCCTCCACCGCCAAATCCGGCATCACGTTGAAGATTATTTGCGCGAATTTGGTTGTGCCTTCTGAAGGGGAATTCTTGGTGGCACCATCCCTTTAAAATTACCATTCGCTCGCTCCGATCCGTTTTTCCATGTTTCGACTGATGGGAGAGCTTTCTCGAAGACAAACATTAGGAAAACGAAGAAACCGAGGCCCAAGATTCCTGAAAAAAAAATAATAAATTGAGGGTAAAAAACGATAGATAAATCTTAAAAATTAAATCCAGAAATTTAGTTCTAAAATAATGTGCTCCTAATTATGGTCGAAATCGGCCATATGAGGGGCGAGGGGGGGGGCCACCCCCCTCCCCCACCCCCGATAATGCCAAAGTACCATTTGATTAACATAACCCACCAAAGATGATATAAACCCCCGCTCGACCCTGCCAATTGTCGGCCTGCGTGAATGCTTGGACTACGGTAACCACCACAAGACTCCAACACACGAATCCGAACGTCATCGGCATCAGGATGAAGTTGCGGATACGATCCGGGTGGACGGGCATTGATCTGAAGAGAGAAAAGAGAGGGGTTTGAGAGTGAGAGAGGCAGTACCTGAAACGGAGGAAGAGCAGGGCGATCATGGTGAAGGCGCGTTGAGACCATTGAGCAAGAGCCACATAGTTGATCAGATTGTCGACATTGCCTGTGAAGGAGATGGCCATGGCGAGGAGCACCTGGAAGAAAAAGTGAGGTTGGGAAGCGAGGAAGAGAGAGAGTGAGAGAGAAAGGGAAAGAGAGAGGGAGACAGAGTGAGAGATCGCGAGAGCGAGAGAGAGAGAGAGAGATCGAGAGAGAGCGAGAGAGATCGCGAGAGTGAGAGCGAGAGAGAGTGCGAGCGCGAAATAGCGAGAGATAGAGGGAGAGCGCGAGAGAGAGCGCGCGAGAGAGTAAGAGATCGAGAAAGCGAGAGAGTGAGAAAGAGAGAGAGAGTGGGAGACGGAGAGGAAGAGTGAGAGAGACAAACTTACATGAATAAAAAGCGCCGTCCTCGGACTGTCACTTTCCGGATTAATCCCAGAAATGAAGGAAGGTAGATGCCCCTGTCGAGAAGCCGCTTGTAAATATCTAAAATTCTACGGTGTCCGCCGTTCTTTGTAGCGTAACGTACCGAGAAGCGGAAAACATGGTGCTGTTAAGGGAACCGACGAGGAGAATGGCCACGAAAAACGGAATCGTGTACCGGAAATTGCCGAGTGTGCGCTCGGCAAAGGTCTGGAAAATCGGGTTAAAAGTGTTGGTAAGCTAAAGAAGGGCTGCTTTGGTGGCGTAATCGATTATGGTAGGAGTTTTTAACTTTTTTCAATTTAAATAGGATAATAATATAGTAATAATAAAATAGTAATAAGAAAAAATAACATAAATAAGTAAAAAGGTAATTTTAGTGTCGTAATCGATTACGCTAGGAAATGAGGCAAGAAAACCAAAAAAAAGGCAAGCGTAAAGCAAAAAGACTTGACGGAATCTGTGCCCTAACCGATTACGCAATGAAAACAACGGGGCCTTATTCGGAGAAGTGTGAACAAAGTGGATAACAAATAAAAAGTCCGGGATCAGCATAAAAATTTTCAGGGCATAATCGATTACGCGACGAAAATCTGGCTCGAAGTATGGATTTAAAGCGGCTAGAAAACCAAACCAAGGCCTGGATTCCGCGTTTATATGGCGTAATCGATTACGGCAGTTAATTAGAAGCCCGCGGAAACTCCAAGACGCACCTGTGCCACGGCGGGACTGTCCAAAAAATCGGCAACGTCCAGGATCGTGAAATACGAAATATTGACGGCCAGATAGATGAGGGCAATCGAGCACATTCCAATGATAATCGCCAGTGGCATTGTTCTAGAAAATGTCTTAAAATTTAATGAAAATTCGATACCTTTTCGGCTTCTCAATCTCCTCGGCTCCAAAATTCAGAATGTCCCAGCCATCGTACGAGAAGAGGCCTATTAGTTTATTAGTATTAGAGTCATTAATGTATTGGAAAGTGTCTATTAACGCGCCAATACCTTGAAAAATTGGATACCTGCAAAAAGTGCAGTGACGATGGCATTTGCCTCCCAGGTACTCCCGCCGAATGGATCGTTGAAGTTTTTCGTGTGCCCTGAAAAAGGGGCGTGGCCTAACCAAATGATTTTCATACCTTTAAAAAGATAGATAAATCCAGTAACAATGACAATTCCGGTGGCTGCAACCTTGGCGATTGAGGCGGCAATTTGGAAGCGGGAGACGAACGTCTTCAACGAGAAGAAATTCATAAACATTAGGAGCCCTAAAGGGACCATGACAGTTGCGGAAAAACCTTGATGTAAACTTACAAATCAACGCGAATCCGAGCAGCATCTTTGCCCAGTATTCCTCATTTTCGGGAAGGTCGATTTGAACTCCCTAAAAAAAGATAAAGCACACGCTTAGCTTGGGCTTGAGCTTAGTTTAAGCTATCTTTGCTTAGCTTAAATCGGTTTTGGATTAGACTTCGGCTTAGGCTTAGCTTAGGCGTAGCTTAAGTTATCCGATACTTACCTTGAAGATATATTCCGAGAATGTCATCGCCTGGACGGCTAGAGTGGCCGGATACGTGATGATACACCCAACGCACATAAAGGCGAAGGCAAGCGGATACCTAGAAAATTCCCCATATATTCAAAAACACTGCCGCGAGACGCCAAGCGTCGGCTTGGAACACGTCGCGTGTGCGTTGCGTGTCGCACGAGACTCATTAGTCGTACTTTCCAAACTCTTCAAAAATCGTTTCAACCGGATTTTTTCTGGTTTAAAGGAACAGTGTAGGGTTGTTATATGACTTGAGTCGCCACCGACTTGCGTCGGTGAAAATGCAAATGACTTGAGTCGGCAACGACTCGCATCGGAAAAATTATGAGTCGGAAAGGACGGATTGAAATGTTGACGATTCAATTCGTAAACGACGCGGGTCGCCAAACGACTTGAGTCGGAATGGAAATTAGTCGGATGGAACGACTTGAAATCGCGACGACGCAAGTCGCCGACGACTCAAGTCGTTTGAGTTTTCAAGTCGTCGGAAGTGAATTTATGCAAATATATGTTCATGGAAATCATTTTGATCGACCAACTCTATTCTTGTCTGAACAGAGTGACAACGCCGCACCACTCTTTACGCTACGATTGGAAATCAGGTCCCACCGACCCTCTTCCATAGAAAGCTGTATAAAAACTGCCGTAAATGCAGGAATTGGTAAAGCTCAAGCTGAGGAGCCCAGGGAGCCGGGTGCTCAGGGAGATCAGGAAGCTTCTGAAGGTATATTAAGGTAGCAAGAACGTTAATTTTCTAGTACCATACTATTCTGAGTATATTACTACAAGTTTTAATAAGATTTACGGCTTTTCTAAAGTTATGCTGCAAAATCAAATAGGGGATCAAATCGCAGCGCGAAGCGGCCTTTGTCCGCTAGTTCACTGTTTTTATACAGCTTTTTATAGAAGAGGGTCGGTGGGACCTGATCTCTTGTCCAATCGTAGCGTAAAGAATGGTGCGGCGTTGTCACTCTGTTCAGACAAGAATAGAGTTGGTCGATCAAAATGATTTCCATGAACATATATTTGCATAAATTCACTTCCGACGACTTGAAAACGCAGACGACTTGAGTCGTCGGCGACTTGCGTCGTCGCGATTTCAAGTCGTTCCATCCGACTGATTTCCATTCCGACTCAAGTCGTTTGACGACTCGCGTCGGGGTGCGATTTGAATCGCGCCGATTTTAAATCGCAAGTCACGGTTTTAAAAGCATACGATTCAGTTCGTCAGTCGACTCCAGTCGTTTACGAATTGAATCGTCAACATTTCAATCCGTCCCTTCCGATTCATAATTTTTCCGATGCAAGTCGGTGCCGACTCAAGTCATATAACAACCCTAGAACAGTGCCATCGATTTCACCCACCATTTCACATAGCAAATATATGCGAAATCAGCGCCCGAAATTCGAATCGACGTCCCCAGCTCGACATAGCAAAATGAGCCGAGGATGGAGATGAGGGCCGCGAGAATCCAGATGATGAGACATAGGCCCACCTGAAAAGGCTCAAAAGTAATAATTTTAAGGTACGGAGACAGAGACCGTGGCCTTTGCCTTCACTTTTCCTTTAAAATTTTGACCGCAATCTTTGTCATGCTGCAAAAAATGTCTAGTCCGGTTGCACTCGGGGGCAAAAGCCATGTCATTCCTTGAAAGATAAGGCTGGGACAGAGAGAGAGAGAGAGAGAGAGAGAGACAGAGATAGATCTCACTCACCGAATTGACTTGTTCCAGAATAGATGTTGGTGTGATGAAGATGCCAGATCCGACGATATTTCCGATAATATACGAAATGGCGCCCATAAGGCCCATTTTCTGGGAACGGGTCTGCGATTCTTCTTCCACCATGTTTTACCTAAAAAATTAGGTTATCTGAGAGAGAGAGAGAGAGAGAGCGAGAGCGAGTGAGAGAGCTAAAGAGAGCAAGAAAAATATTCAGAAAAATTTATATTCATAAAAAATGGCTGCGCAAACAGAGCCACACACAGCACACCAATATTACGATGCTATAAAACATGGTCCAAATCGAGAGCACAACCCAAAAAGGCTGTTTTCGTGAAAAGCCGATACTTTCTATGCCATATTCAACAGACTGTGACGCACCGAAAACATAAAAGGTTTGTGTAAATGCCTGGCTTCTTCACAAAAGGCGTAGAAACTGAAAAATTGCGGACTCTTGGTTCAAAATCTTTGCTAGCTTGCCATTTATCGGCAGTTTGGGTCGAATTGCATCTAAAAATATTTTCAGGATTTGGGGAATTTTTAAAGGTACCTGGAAATCAAAATAAAATTATCTTAAGTTGAAGCAATAATTTAAAGTTTAATTCTGAGATAAAACTTATTGGTTCAATTAAATTAATCTTTAACCGTTGTTAACTTGGAGGAAAATGCTGGAAATTCGGCTTTTTCTGCAGTCTAATCTCGAAAATTCATCCGATACAAAAAATTGACTATACTATATTTTATTATAATAAAGAATAAAAAAAGCAGAATGCCGACAATTCTTCACTTTATTTTGACGAGAAGTATAATTAATAATTAATTAACTTAACTAGTGAAGCCACCAAAAATCGAACGATTAAATTTGCATATTTTTATAAAACACAAAACAAGAACAATGCCGGCAATCATGTCGACAATCTCGACAGGAAAATCCGCAGTACAAAACTGCTATTGCAACTAGTAAAAATCAACAAATTTCGATTTTGGCTGTCGGCATTTTGGCCATCCGCTTGTCAGCATACCCCACAAATAACCTCAAAAATACCCCCAGAAAACCGCAGTCTAATCGAACCGAACTGTCCGGTGCACGCCAGCCCCAAAAAAGGCGTCATTTGGCGTGTAGCGGTATGTGGGTAATGGCGTGTGGAGGTGGCGGCTCCCGTTTTCATAGATAAAGCCCCAACCCTCCAACCCCCGATGCTGGAGAGCTTTTTTAATCTTGGTAGCCGCGTTGAGCCCCCCTCCCATTGGCTTGTTATCTTCTTCTTCTTCCTCTGCTCTCATTGAACAGGCTTAAAATTGGGTCCGCAAAAAGCGAGAGCGTGGGCAAAAATGCCTTCGAAATATTGGAACCATTCGGATTGAAATTTCGTTTTCGGGAGCATTTAAAAGCAAAAAAAAATGTGGAGAGAAAGAAAAGATAAGTTTAGTTATCGTCGGGATTCAATTTTGTAATATAAATAAAACACATGTTTTGAAGCTATTTTTAGTATTCTTAAGCTTACAAAAGTGACAAGTTTTTAACAGGGCTTAATACAAAAAAAATACTGCCTTTTCGAGCCAAAAATACTACTAGCAAAAAAACCTCAATTTTTTAAAAGTTTTTCTAGATAGTTTTTCGCTTTAAATACAGTCAATTTCACAAAATGCACGATTACGTGACTAGACATTTCTGGGTTTATATAAATAATCGGTTTCCAGTGCTGGTATCTTCCCCCCGATAATGCAAAAGTACCGCCAAACCCTACAGGATTTTATCTAAAATGGTTTCTGCTAGCTTTTCCGGGAGAGCTTTTTAGTTTTTTTATGGATCGTGGGACGAAAGAATGAACCGCAAATGACCTGAACAACCCAGACGATGCCAACAAGTTTTGGCACGCTGCTAATCCGTCAGCCAATAACAGAATCGAATACTTTGCGTTGTAGCTGTTCTTTGTCAAATGTGCACAAAATGTGCTTGTTGTCACTAGTTGGGGCGTGTGTCGTGTCTCTCCTCCCTAACCTCCTCCTCTTCGGTCCAAATGACAAACATTGCCTGAAGGGATTATTGGGCCCTTCTACGCTCGCAAATGGGCCCCCGAATTGGGAATCCCCCGTTCCTCTATTCTCTTTGTGGGGAGGTAGAAACTGTACGGAAACGGAATTCGGATGGAGATGGGGTGGAAAGAGGTGCATCTCGTAGCGATGTCGAAATGCCTTGCTTTGAAAAACTTCGGATCAAAGGGCTTAGAAACTATCAAAAAACTGGGAAACGTTAAAAATAATTAATGATTTAAACTTATTCAAAATTTTCGAACGAAAAATCGATGTTTTGTATTTTTACGATATTATTATTATTACGAATTTGTAGGTGGAAATTCACTTTGTCGCAATCTCATTTCGTCAAATTTTCACTGCGCAAAAAAATTTAGATAAAATGAATTTCGATTCTTGGCAAAATCAGGTTCGACACGATGAAATTTCGACGAAACGATTTTCGACAGGATGAAAATAAGCAAGACGCCTACTTGTTTGCAATGTTTCTTTAGGGCAAAAATTTTCTCTATGTTAAAGGCATTGGGAAGGCCTAAGCCAAAATTAGCAAGAAATGGGATGTAGACGTGCGGCACGTTTACTCCTAAAGATGCAGCAGGCCTATGCTGATCTACTGGGTCTTCCTTATCCCCTTGAACCACTTAACCCAAAAATAATGAGCATCTAAACCCTTCTCCTTGTAAGCCAACTCCGATTTCATCCCTCGATTTTACGTGGGAATCGAGTGTCTTCCCCCCCAAGGTTGGCTCATTCATTTCATACCTTACGCGGGGGGTGTAGTAGTGACCCCTCTGCTTGATACCCCCCGGGGTCGAATGGGTGCAAATATGCACTTCGGGGGAGGGGGGTCCCGTTGCGGCTACCGTATCCGATTACCGATCCCGTGAAAAGAGGGGGCCGAGGGAGGGGATCAACGGCTTGAAGGAGGACGGGGGAATTCGGAGAGTTCAGAAGCCTCACGCCCCCTCCGGGGCGAATCGTGCAATTCTCACCCCACAATTCCGCACCAATACCCCCACCCATTACGTCATCGATTAGAGGGGCTATCGTATTCGACTTTCGAAGGACCTGGCAAGGCATGACTAAAGATTTTTTACCTTGTTTTCCATGGATTTTGTGGGGGCCCGCGGAACGCAACGCGTGCGCTCGCTTTTTCATTGCGTAATTGGTTATCGAAACTCGTCGCGTGTGCGTTGCGTATTGCGACCTTGCACTTTTCTAAGTTTTCCGAAATTTAGTATCTTTTTAGCGTATTGGAATTTCGAGCGCTGAAAGGAGTGCTACGTTTCATATTCTCCTCAGGTTCTCTTTCCCTTGCCCTAGCTACCGTAGTCCAAAACCCTAAAATCATAAGTTGGATTTTCCAGGCTCGGTTTTCAATGCCCGATGTGCACTGGGCTACTCTTGTGCTCTTTATAGCCACCGCCCAGGCTGCCCTCCCCGATTTGGGAAATGTTCTCGCCGCAAAACCCAGCCAAAAGCCGTCAGTTACGGTAGTTTAAGCGAAAATGAAAGTTATCAGGTCACGGTTTAGAATTCGGCGCTGATACCGATATCCTATGACGTGCAGATACAGTTTCCGCTTTCGGAGGTGAGTAGAAAAAATGTTTCAGGTTTAAGTTGACTTACAGAGGTTCCTAAGATTTTATTAAGGTTTATTAAGCGTTTTAATTGAGCTTGGAAGTGCATTTTTTTAAAGAAGGTGTTTACCGTAACCTCGCGGCAACGTTTTTTTTTATTTTTTAGGCCGCCGATCCGGATACACCGTTATTCACTGGGCGAGTTGTGCTACAGTTCGATTTGACGCAGGAGGTACGGGCTGAGGTTGATGGAGAGACCGGAGTTGCCGCCACTGGGTACGTTTGGGAAGCCAGGAAAAAACCTATGAAGCCAGTCAAAAATGACAATTAGCACCGGACGGTAAAATCCTCATTTAGCATCGATTTCTCGATCCTCGGCCTTGACCACCTAGAAAATGTGTCGATCGTCTACAACGGAGCTGAACTCCCACTAGCAAATGTCATTTTATCCGAAATTGGAATGAGGCTCGTCTTCGATCAACCTGTACTCTTTGCGGGCCGGTAAGGTGAAGCCTGACGATCTTAAGGTATCCTAGATATACCATGAGCATCCAGCGCTACAAGGGCTTTATCGGATCCGCGCTGTACTATCGGTAGGTTGGATTTGTTGTTGTCGCACGTCCTTTAAAGCGCGCTACAGAATTCACCGGAAATACATAGCCTTGCCTTGCTGGTCCCTTTAAACACGCCCCCTTTCAGAGACGCCGGTGATCACGCCGTTTTTGGTTCGTCCCTATTCCCAAAAAGAGTGGCTGCCCTATTCCCTGTCATTTCACAATCGATGGCAAAGGTATCTGCGCATTAAGGAGGTTAGAAGTCGATCTCTTTAGGTCCCAATATCATTGACCATCGTACATCCGAATAACATGACTGCTCTCTCGTCAGCACCTCTTGATGGACCATCGGCCAGTATTGATGAAAATTGGATGGTAAGGGAGAGAGACAGAGAGAGAGAAAGAGAAAGAGAGAGAGTGTGAGTGAGAGAGAGAGGAAGAGAGAGAGAAAGAGAGAGAGAGCGTGAGAGATAAAGACAGAGAGAGAAAGAGAGAGTGAGTGAGAGAGAGTGAGCGAGGAAGAGAGAGAATTTAACCAAAGGCAAGCTAGCAGAGACCATTTGCCGCTTCCAGGTTACAAGCTTCCGACCGACCCCTCCGATAATGCCAAGCTCACTGGCCCTCGCATTGCTTCCAGATGAGTACGAAATGGTACGTTGGGAAGAGTTGTCATTTTTTGATGCGTAGGCCTAAGCCAAGAAGACTTAAGCGCAGGCTTAGCTTAGCTTAGGCTTAGCTTAGGCTTAGCTTAGGCTTGGCTTAGCTTAGGCTTAGCTTAGGCTTCAGCCAAGTCCAGACAATGACCCCTTTAATACCGTCATTTAGCGTGCAAATACCTTGACTGGTATCCTGCTCTCCCTCCACCACAATCGCTACCGTATCACCTCAAAACAAGCCCTCTACACCCTCAATCAAGCCACCCAGGCACTCATCATGCTAAAGTATGCCCCAGTTACCGTACCCCAGAGAGACCATTTAAGGTCCTTCTTCTCATCAGCCGTCCCGATGGCCCAGCTCGACATTGTCATCATAAACGATGTGGTACCGTCAAATAGTTACGGTAGGTTACGGTCGCTCGGTTTAAAGGGTCCGGCAAGGCATCATCATCGGTCTCTAGTATGGATTTTTTTACGTATTTTCGGCAACACAACGCGCAGGCAACGCGGACGCAAATTGGCTCATCGCAGCGAATTTTCTAATTTTTTCGTTTCAGGTACGATAATCGTGCCAGAAGACGTCATCCTCTCCGCCGATCTCCCCCATCTCATCTACACAATTGCCGGCCAAATTGCCCGCCAATGGCTCGGCGGCATTGTTACGGTGGCCCGGGAGAAGGAGCTGTGTCTACAGGTGTGTTTCGTAGCGCTGCCGAACGCGGCCAAGCAAAAGCTGTCGTAGGGCTATGCTTCCACCGGTGCTTTAAAGTTTTTTAAGGGGCGCGTAAGGCTTCGTATTTCCTACAGCTTTCCTAATGACTTGCCGCGTTCGCGGCCCGCGACGCGTCAGTTTTGGGCAGTTCACTAACTGTTAATTCAAATTCCTTCCGCGTTGCGTGTCGCGTTGCGGGTTGCGTCGCATGTTGCGTCGCGTCGCGTGTTCCGTTGCGTTGCGTGTCGCCTTCCGTGTCGCGTTGCGAAACAATCACTAGAAAATCCTAAAACAAAATTTATTACAGACGCTCACCTGCGACGTAATGGGTTTCGAGCCCTTCAGAATAGTAAAAAAAACGCAAAGCAGCTACAATGTCAAAAAATACGAAAAAATCCACTTATCTGCAGGAAGACCTTGCCGAATATGTTGCCCTAAAAGTCGTAAAGAGAATGGCCGATGATGAGGGGCTGAGATTGGCACTCTACGCAAAGGTACGGTAGCCACAGCGTGTCTTACAATACAGCGTGGTTAGGGTCATTTCCACTTTTCCTAGATGATGCTAAACGAAGACTTCTTCGAGGTGGGCCACAACTTGGAGCTGGGCGAGGGGTTGGAACAAGCGGTAGCGTCGTTTTATTTGGCAGATTAATCAAATGTTCAGTTGGGGTCGCGGTGTGGGTTGAAGGGGGTACTGTACCTCGAGTCGCTGGAGACGATACTTGGCGAGAGGGACCTGCTGCAGCGCATAAATGCTCTGATATTTACGGCGAAGGATGCGCATTTTAGGTGGGAATTCTGGGGATTTTCTGTCACGCGATCTTTGACACATCGCGATAGGCGTGTGTGGTACTATGGAGTCCCTGCGCCCAGCAGAATGGCCACGCGTAGCGTAGTGCCACTGGCGTCAGGCGTACATTACTACAGAGTCGCGTAGCTTGGCGTAGCGTAATTTGGCGAAGGGCACTCTAGTGTGTTTTAGCGCAATGTGGCATAATGTAGCTAGTTCACTATAGCGTAGTGTGGCGTAGCATAACGCATGGTGTAATAGCACCCCGTATTGAAGCGTAGTGCTGCGTACTGTAGCGTAGTGTAGCGTATCGTAACACAATGGAGCTCAATATAGCGTACCTTGACGTAGGGTGGCGTACCGTAGCGTAGTGGAGCGCATCATAGCGTAGTGTATCGCAGCGCCGGGTAGTCTGTAGTAGCATTGTGTACTGCAGTGCAATGTATCGTAGCGGATCGTAGTGAAGCGCAGTCTAGCGTATGGTAGCACAGTGCAGCGTAGTGTGTAGTAATATCACGTACTGTAGCGCCGTCATGCGTGCAGTAGAGTAATGTGGCGTAGCGCAGCGCAAAGAAGCGCAACCGTAGCCTGACGCAGCGGTACGTAGCTGCTCCTTAAAAAGCGCAACCCTGCTGTCATGTTCCCTTTAAAAATACCTAAAATATCGATTCAAATTCAGCCTCGCAACCTTCATGCGCCACATCTCTTCGCGGGTCGATGAAGACGTCGACTTGGCGCAGGTCTACAATTTCTGGTATCGCAGCCGGGGCGTACCGCATTTGGCAGTGAAAAGGGTAGGCTGATTGGCCTTTGATACCTATTTAAAAAGTATACTGTAATTTTCTATTTTAGACGATATAAAATACTTTTATTTTTCTAAAAATTGAGATTTTTTTAGGTGCGCGACTCCCTACAATTGACCCAAGAAACGGCGAATCGCTCGATCGAAACAAAAGACGGGAAAGAGGGTAAATCAATTTTCCCGCTGGTTCATAAAACTTGCGCTTTTCTACCGTACCCGCCCCCATTTCAGAAATGTCGCTCTGGCCGCTGGTGCTCGATTTCTCGGACTTCCAGCTGCCCCTCCATTTCATGCTCTCACAGGGCATCCATTTGGCCCCCGTGCGAGACTCGCTCTCACTCGCCAATCTTGGTTTGCCTTACATTTTTTACCTTTAATAGGAAAAACGGTATATGTCGGCTACGCGGGGGGATTTTACGCGGGGGGACGGGACAGGCAGGCCTTTTTGGATGTTCTCGTTATTTTCTCGGAATTTTTTCAACGGCATTCGATAGAGCACCGAAAAATATACTAAGAGTTTTTGTTTTAGCTCAAATTAGTGTAATATAAAAAAAGTTAGGGCAAATACAAAAATAAGCTTTGAAAATCGGTTTTCGCGGATGTTTTTTGACATTCGCGCTATTTTTTCGACATTTTAAAGATGCCATTCGATAGAGCATCCAAAAATATACTAACAGTTTTAATTTTAGCTCAAAATAATGTAATATAAAATAGTTATAACAAAAACAAGTATTAAACGTTGTTTCCATGGAGGACATAGAAGGAAATCAAGTTTTCGACATTTTCGACATTTTTACAAAATTTCTTTAGTGCCATTTGACAGAGCGCCATAAAATATACTAAGAGGTTTGTTTGTAGCAAAAAGAAACGCAAAAAAATAGTTAGCTCGGCCCCAATAGTCCGTCCCCCCCCGCGTAAAATCCCCCCCCCCCCCGCGTAGACGACATATACCGGAAAAACTAATAGTTAAAATAAATATACAAATGTAATTTGCTAAAATTAATAATGAAAAATTAACTTTTTGGCAATGCTACCGTATTTTAGGATTCCGCCATCTTTATCGGGTCAATTATGATGTCGATACGTGGCGTCAGGTAACTTTTTGCATTGTGAATGCTGCCTTCAATGGTCCTTGAAAACGCTAATATTTCCAGATCAAAGACTCGCTATTCCACAACGCTACCCTGTACAGTCGGCGGGAACGGGCGCAGCTCGTCTCCGATTTTTGTTTCTTCTACCAAAGGGGTAGGTTTTTACGGTCTATCCTTCTAGTTTCTCGATAAAACAAGTCATTAGCAACATTTTTGACGTAGATTCGAATAGTTCTCAAAATTCTGTACCTAAATACTCTTTAAAATACCAATTTTGATTGAAAACGAGCCCCGAAAAATTGATTAAAAAACGCCGGAAGCTAGCCATAGCTTCTAATACGGTTAAACTACGCAACGCGCCGCGCCGCTGTCCGCCGGAAAGGGTTGTAATCGCTAGCAAATCCATAGTGTTTTACTTGCCAATCCCTTAAGCGTCAGCTAATTCACCCTTCTCTAGGCGAAATCGAGGAAGAAGCTAAAGCGGAGAAGCTGCGCGCCGAGTTCATCCAGATGGTTCGGCTGAAGTCGTCAGATTTCGAGCTGTGCGAGCTGGTGGCTTGGGGATGCGGAGCTGGGAGAGTGAAGCGGGTACGTTAGAGATACCGGGGATAGAGGTGCGCAGCGGACGCGCGTGATTCTTTCGTGATTCCGTCGCGTCATTCTGTAGAAAAACCGTAAAATCTATAGCCTTGCCTTGTCCGCGCTTACCTTAAAATTCAGAAATCCTCGCGGGACTCCCTTCTGAAGATCCGCCGTCAACTCTGGGACGCACTACGGAATGAGGCGGATTTTGGATGTGGTCGAGGGGCCGTCCATAGTATTGCTGAGTTGCTGTGTAGGGAAACGACTGGATCGTCTTGTCTTTAGGTCTCTCTCCTACTCTTTCTCTCACTCTCTCACTCTCCCTCTTTCTCTCGTTCTCTCTCTCCTCTCTGTTTTTCTCTCTCGCTCTAACTTTCTCTCTCTCTCTCTCTCTCTCTCTCTCTCTCTCTCTCTTTCTCTTTCTCTCGTTCTCTCGTTCTCTCTCTCTCTATTCCCTACAGTATTTCTCAATCCTTTTTTCGGTGCCTCAGCCATTGCCCCCTATTTTTTTCATTCACCGCTTATTTTTTGATATTTATTCCTCGACTCATCAGGGCTCAAAAATAATTTTAATAACCGAATCTGATGAAAATATACCAGAGGTTACGACGTTTTTATAATTTACATGATGTTTTTGAGATGTTTAATTTAACAATCATAAATAAAATAAATAAAGTCATAAATAGATAAACAGATAGAGACAAAACATGGCGAAAGCGGGGTTTTTTGGCGGCGGAGCGGCAGAGAGAGAGAGAGAGAGGGAGAGAGAGAGGCGAAAAGAGAAAAAGAAAAAACGCGAGACCCATATATCGAATATTGTGAGCAGAAATTGCGGAAAAAATAGGAATAAATAGGGAATGGCGGTTAGGTAGTTTTGGCTACGGTAGTTACTACCGTAATCGAATCGCCTTGCGTACAGTACTCATCTTCTAGAAGTCGTAGCTGTTCGAGCGGGCGAGTACTGAAAAGTCATGAAAATTGGATAAGACCGAAGCCACGCCTAAGCCAACCCTAGCTATGCCCAAGTCAAGCCTAAGCTAAGCCTAAGCCTAAGCCAAGCCTAAGCCTAAGCCAAGCCTAAGCCAAGCCTACGCTAAGCCAAGCCTAAGCCAAACTTAAGCTTAGCCTAAGCTAAGCCTAAGATAAGCCTAAGCCGAGCTTAAGCCAAGCCCAAACTCCAACCAACCTCGCGTGCAAACGCATCGAATGCAAAATCCAAGGAAGGCGATCACGCCAAGCCCGCCGGCAATGACCACGGCCAGCCAGAACCATTCCTTAATTTCGATTTAAAAATTTTTAGTGTATTTCAAGGGATAAAAAAAGATAAAAGAAATCAATAACTATTTTTAGATCATTTAACAAGATCTTTAACTCAAAACCGGCAACTACGGTCAATATTTGCCTTGCCAAGCCCTTTAAAACGACTGAAAAGACGTCGAATCTAGCAAATAAGACGAAAATAGTAGCTTACCCTGAATTTCATACAGCAATACATGTCCAACTTTCCGCAACACTCGTAGAAGTAGATGATGTTGGCTAAAAGGAGCCCTGTACTACAGTACTCTGTATAGCCTACAGTATTCACAGGTGGACACGGCATCTTCGGTGGCCGGGCAGTGCAGCCGGTCGTTGGTGTGCTCGTTGGATTTGATGAACAGAGGGCGGGAGGGGAGCGACGGGATCGAGCTGGAATTGTCGTTGTTAGTTTTTTATGGCGTTCGGAAAAAGTGCTCCCAAATGAACACTGTTGGGAAAGCGCCGAAATCCCGACAGAGAAAATCCCGACAGCTAAAATCCCGACAGACCGAGAGACGAAAATCCCGTCAAGTCAACTCAAATCTCGACAGGTCAAAATTCCGACAAGCTGGAATCCTGAGAGACTCAAATCCCGACAACGAAAATCCCGTAGGCCACGTTAGGCCAAAATGCCGACATGTCAAAATTCCGACGTACTAAATCTCGACAGCCATAATGCCGACAGTTGTGTTTAAAAGCAGATTACATTCAACTAACGTCAAAAATAGGTCGGGGTTTTTCCGAGTGAGGTTTTGTGAGCTAGCTGCCCAATTCCTCCAAAAAATAACCGCTGGTTTACGCGCAAAATCCCCCCAAAAACGCTGCTCGCTTGCCCTCAGCTCTCGATTTATGTCATAACAAAAACGGCATCTCTTCGAAATCCGCCATGGTCGCTGCCAGTTTACCTTATTGGTGGTGTCGCCCGGATTTCGGTGATGTTATCGTCCTCACAGATCGTGATGGCGAAAAGGGCGAAGAAGAGGAGGGATCGTCGCATTGAAAAGTTACTAAAAAATTAAAAATTGAAGAGAGAGGGAGAGAGAGTGAGAGATAGAGAATACCACAAAACGCCATAGAGTCGAAAAACGACGAATGGTAGAGAAAGCGAGTGAGCGACGCAGAGAGAGAGAGAGAGAGAGAGAGAGAGAGAGAGAGAGCATGATATAGACAGCCAGCGAGCTAGAGAAACAAATAGAGCCTAATATATATAGAGCCTAAAAAATTCTTGTCAAACTCCCGTTAAAAATTCTAACCCTCCAGACCTACCGTAATTACGTTACCGACTCCAAAAGTCATCCGTTCGTAAGCCGGAGCCCACCGGAAATTTTTTGGTGGCCTCCTCGAAATTGGGGTGAATGAATTTGGGGGGATGTTGGGTGGGTGGGTGGGCGATGTAGAAGACGAAGAAGAAGGGTTTCTCCTTTTGCCAGTCTTATTCTTATTCCCTCTGTTTCTCTTTGCTCATCACCAGTGATGTGTTGTGAGCCCTAATTGGATTTGAGAAGGGGAGATGAAGATGTATAGATAGATAGATAGAAGATAGAAAAGGTCTCATGGCCATAGTCCAAAAACGGGGGATGTCATGGCAATCGGCAAAGTTGCCTAAAAAAAGTGGTTTCTCTGGAGTTGATCGAGTAGGCAAAAAATCGTTTTCCTGTTTAAAGGGATTGCGACCTTTTTGGAAATTTCGAAGTTTCTTAAATATACTCCCGTTCAGAATTTAAATATTCAAAAAAAAAAGAGTCGGGCTGCTCGGCCCTAACAACCTAATTGCCCGGCCGCAGGGGCAACTTTTGATGGCAAAATGGGGGATGTCAGTTTGTAGGCATGTCGCTCTCTCTCGCTCTGTGTCTCTCTCACACGCTCTCTTTCTCTTCCTCTCACTCTCTCGATCTCTCGCTAGCTCTCTCTCTATCTCTCTCTCTCTCACTCTGCCTCAAATGGCTGTTGGGATCAGGGCTTTGTTCCCCCCCTTCCCAAAAAAGGAGGCTAACTTTTTAAAGTACAAAAAGAATGGATTTTTGCAAGCAATTTTCAAGCAAAGATCGGTTTGGTGGTGCTTTTGCATTATCGGGGGGGGGGGGCAACTTTTTTAGAATCCGATAGTTGTGCAATATCAATAAAGAAATGGTTTGCAAACGGCTTTTGCTATTTCCACACGCTAACGCTTTATAAATTTTGTATGAGAAATAGAAAATATCGATTTTTTTTTTTTGGTAAAAAATGTCGATTTCCGACCAAAATTTGATGTTTACGATTTTCAAGTTTTTAGATGGGATTTCCACCCGGACAAACGTAAATTAAAAAAAACTAGGGAAATGCTTACTACCAATTTAATTGGCGTTTCGGAACCAAAAAAATCCTCCCCCCCGCTAACGCGAAAGCACCAATTCGGCAAATGATCATTGAAGTACCGTATACTTGGCCGCGCTGCAAGCAAAGCATTAACGGCAAGCTAGCAGCGTTTCTTTAGGATTTTTCGATCGAAATAGTAAACAACACACGACTTCAGAAACTTATTAAATCCATTACCATCCGTTACCTACCGTATCTCACGCCCATTATTACCGTAGTCTCAATACCCGAAAACAACTCCAATTCTGGGAATGGATAAACCGAGAAATGTTGATGTAGCCGTCGAGGGGAAGGTGGTGGCTGCCCCCACAAACAAGGCCAATTTGACTGCCGTGTATTTGAGGTGGAGACGAATCGAGGGCGAAAGAGAAGAGGAGCCTGAGAAGAGGAGGAGGAGCACGGCTCTCAAATGGCATCGTTATCCCCCTTCCATCCCCCTCCACCTCCCCTTCCTTAAACCCCCCATTTATAGCTGCCAGGGCCTGGCGCTAGGGGTACGAGATCTGCAAAAGTTACAAGTGTATAGGGTTACGCAAAATACCCTACACATCGCTGAAAATTCCAAAAATTCGTCATTTCTCATCCATTTTTGACCAAAAAATCCACATTTTATCTTATAAAATTTTTATAAGCCTTTTTACGAGCTCTTTGTATCGAAAAACTATCTAAAATCCCATCAAAATGGTCCATATTTTGTTACGTACAGGGTTAGTGGAAAAAATAGTCCCCACCCGCTAATCTCCCCCCTGCTAACAGTCCAGTCCCCGCTCATTTTTGAGTCCACGGGGCATTAACAAACCCAGGCTGTCACGCTTCCTTAAAAATCGCCGGGCAAAGGGTCAAAAGGTCAAAGGAAGCTCAAAAGGAATTAGATTTTTCGGATGAAGTCTACGCTGCCACGATGGAATTCTGGCGTCACGCTCCCTTTAAAATCACTGAAAAACAGCAAAAACGATGAATTGACGTAGAAATGACTGATCCGGGCTGTCAAGTCCCCTTAAAGCGCCACATCCGGAATTTCTAGCTTGGAAAATCGAGATTTTAGGATCATTTCTGCGCTAATACAATTAGCCCCTGGCGTCACGCTGCCTTTAACTAAAAAAAATCGGTCGCAGCTTCTTGAAAAATCCTAGAAAATCAGCAAAAATTCCCGTCGTCGCAGCAGCTGATAAGAGGACAGCCTGAAATAGGGATTTCCCGGAGGAACCGGATCCGGTTCCGCGGGGCTCCTTTGGACACCTCGTCCGGGGCGGTTGCAAAGGTGTTTGGCGGAGCGGAAACGGAGGGGGAAGGAGGAGGATGGGAATGGGGGGTGAATGGGGTGTTCAACCCCAACCTCTCTCATGAGGGGAATGGTACAAGAAGACCGGGTGTCGAATTGCTGAGAGAGAGAGAGAGAGAGAGAGGAGAGAGAGAGAGAGAAGAATGAGATAGCTACAAAATTCCGGTCTCGCTTTGTCTCGTCTCGCTCTCTCTCCCTCCCTCTCTCTCTCTCTCCCTCTCTCTCTCTCCTCCCAGTCACATCAACTATCATGCAAATCCCCACACCCCTTTAATAGCCGGGTATACATCCCCCCGAGACCCATTCTCCCTGACTGTACGGAGGAGTGCCGTGGAATCGCGCGATTGCACCAAAGCGATTATGCTGATTAAGCCATGTACATACGCTACGGTACGGCCATAGGAATATCGTACAGTTTCGGACAATTGGAAGGTAAAACTACTGGCTTGACCACCTCGCGCACCGCTCCTGAAAATAAGGTGCGGTCGGGAATAAGGCGGTCGAATGCCGAGATGCCTTTTTCCATATACGGTAGAAGTGTTTAAAATATACCTAGAAAACAAGAAAACCTAGAGTTCAATCACTTTTATTTGGAAACCCATTAAGCGTGTTGTTGCCGTGGCCTTTCATCCAGATATGGCCGCGAAGATGCCTCAATATGCCGGAAAATTCACAAAAATAATCGAAAAATCTGCTTTTTCAATTTTCTTTTGCTGGGCCTTTGCCCGGAATAACTGAAAAGCTTCGGAATTCGCGATACATCTCTGACATTCTGAATAGCGTGAGTGCGTTCTTCCTCCAGCTCCAAAATTGCTCAAAAATGACCAAAAATAGCTCAAAAATAGTCGAAAAAAGCATTTTCCCCATTTTTCAAGGGCTTTTCACCGTATCTTCCGAATGTCCAATACCGTCAGTGACGTCTTATCTTCGTCATCCGTGTTGAGTAAGTGATTTGGATGTGGTATTTGCAAGCGAGATTCTTAAAACGTTTATTCCAACCAAATCGCGTGCACACAAATCGAACAGTATGGCGACGGAGAATTAATGTATTGTGGGGCAGGGCAGGACGAGCAGAGCGAGCAGCGGAGGAGGATGTTGATAAGGAAGTAGGCGATGACGGCGATCACGTGCACTACTGGAAAATGAGCATTAGCAACCGGTCAACAATTGTCCAGTCATCCAACACAAGCCGCCCAACCCGCATCCACGTCATATTCCTCATTTCATCGCAAAATAGACAAAAGTTTCGGCTTCCTTTTTTCTAAATGTCTCACACCCCCCCCCCCCGCTAATAGTCCAGAAGCCAATTTAACTAAGGTAAAAATTTAAACTCCCTAAACTAAACTAAAACAAGTTGCTATTGGTGGTACTAGTTGTGGCCCCGTAAGGTTTTGGTGATTTGCCCCCACCTCGATGCGGTCCATCGAAGGCGAGGGGCACGGCGAATCATTAGCACGAGTGTCGCGCTCGAGTTCCACCCCGTTGATCTTCGGCACATCGACGACCATCCAGCTCCACATCCAGCTCCACATCCAGCTCCACGATCTGAAGATCAAATTTATTTAAGAGCAATCTCGCGAAGAGTTTTTACGCTTAGGAATAGGAAAAACCTCATTTTAAAAAAAAACGAAAAACGAAGAAAAACAGTTGCGTACCGGGTCCGGTTTGGCGGGCAATTTCGGCCAGACGAACGCCGTGCGCCACGTCGCCGAGAGCCTGTCGAGGTGGACGGCGGCCTGGTGAACCTAAAGATCAATTATTGGAAATCGAGCAGGAGATGGACCGTGGCTTGCAGGACGTCGATGTCGTCAAGCATGGAGGAGGTGTCATCGCGCACCGAGGTGATCTAAAAAGCCAACTGAATTCTGGTTTTTGATCTGATTTTTTTTTCATTTTTAGAGATGCCTAGCAACTAAATAGAAAGAAATTTCATATTGTTTTTTTGGTAAAATACAATATATTTAACCAGAAAAACTGTCTAAACCGTTAAAAAATTTTGAAGAGAGCGGAATTTAGCCAGAACACTGTCATTTTTGGTCGAAAAATCGTGTTTTTTTGTGTTTTGGATCGAAAAATCGGTGCTAATGCACTTGGGGGGGATGCCGTTTTTTAAACTCGAATCCTCTGGAAAAGCAAAGCTAAGCATAAGCTTAGCTTCATACCAACGAAGCCTAAGCTTAGCTTAAGCCAAGCTAAGCTTAGCTTTGGTCTAAGCCCTAAATGACCTCATTTTGACCTCGTAAGTCAATTTAAAGCTCAAGATAAGCTTAGCTTGGGCTTAAGCTTAAGCCTAAGCGGCAGATAAGCATAGTTAAAGCTAAGTTAAGTATATGCTTAAGCGAAAAACAAGTAACTTAAGCGGAGCGCCTCGTAGCCTCTTACTATCAATTTCGGGCTACCCCCCTAACTGCATTAGCACCGAAGAATCGTACCGTTTTTACGTTTAGGATTGGTAAAAACAGTTTATATGCTTGCACTATTTATATTTAAAATTTGTTTCCAAAGAAAAAAGAAATTTACCTTCTGGAGGACTTTCTCCATCTTGTTCGCCCATTGGCGGAACAGCTCGACCTTCTGCTGGGTCTTCGGCGCGTTGTCGGCCAGCGGCAGACGCTGATAGGCGCCCATCTAAAGAACAATAATTGCTAAGTGTCGCTGCGCTTACGCTGGTCCAGAAGGCGGCGTTCTCGTATTCCATGCCTCCCCGCACACGGTCGTGGGATGCCAGCGCTTCGACGAGTCTCTTCGGCACGGCTGCCTTCAGCTCTTCACACACCTTTTTGTGGTGACGCCCCTGGCGCAACGGCTGAAACCTACAAGGTAATTAATTTGTAAGGATTTTTATCAAATATATAAATCCATTTTTAGACCAAAATTTCAATTCATTTTTTTTTTGATTGATTTAGATAGATTTTCACTTGAATTATGGCTCAATTTTACAAAAGAAACACTGTTAAAATGTTCACTATTACGCTTCCAGGCCTTGCTGCACTCAATGCGGTTAACAAAAATTAACAAAAATATAAACCATTTTGATAGCATAGTTTCTAGTTTTTAGTTTTTAGGTATACAGGGTGTCCAAAAAAATTGTTCCGGACTTTGGGCTCGAATAACTTTTGATAGAAGAATATTTCACCGTGCGTTACCATGCCAGAATGCTTAAAAGTGTCTGGAACTCCGATTTAGATCAACTTGATTTTTTTCGATTTTTGAGTACACAACTGTACTATTGACGCTGGTTACGACCGAAAATTGTGCGTTCTTGAACGGGTGGTGGGAAAATTCTGAATTTTGGCCTAAAAATAGCTGATATTTATAGAAAATTAATCCCCAAATCTTAGAATTTTTGAAGCACTAGTTCTTTTTTTACAAGCAAAACAAATTTCACTATTTTGTATCTTTTTTGCCTTTTAATTGGCAACTCGCTTCAAATACGCTGCCCATGGCTGATATTTTGCAAATGGTGTCTCCAAATGATAATCTTTAGCCCAACACCAAATTTTACCGGCTTCTATGGTATTTTCATATTGCTTGCTAAAACGTGCCCCAGAGGGATACTGTAGTTTTGGTTTTTCGCGTTTTTCTTTTTATCGTAAGCTGCGATTTTGCTTAAAATTTTTTCATTGGTAAACACTAGTAAGGGTCACCTATGGCCTAAATATCACAAAGTTCTAGCCACACACTTTCGAAAAATATACAAAAAGCTGATTTTTTAATTTAGCCACGGCAATTTCTAAATATTTTAATGAAACGGACCGAAAACTACTATTATTTGTTTTCCTGAAAGATCGAAACGTTTCTATGGTGAAAAGAACGAGAAAACGGCGATTTTCTGTTTTCTACCGTAACCCACTGGGAGCGCGTTTTAGCATGCCAGGACAAAATGCCATAAAATGCCGATTTTTCTATTCTAGAATGTCCCTGAGTAATTATAAGGAAGCAGGCGAAAAATGACTGACTTTCTGTGGTAAATAACAAAGTTATAAGGGAAAGAGGAAAACCATCCTCGGGGCACCATTTTGGACCGGATGCCCCGGGCCGAAAATCGAATTTTTGAAAATGAAAAAATCACCAGAGTTTCGTGGATACAATTAAAGCACGCATAGAACGGTGTATGAGTGCAGAATACTGGAATGATCTGGCTGAAGTTAATGGTTCATTTTGATTTAAAACCCGAAAATAACGTTTTTGAAAAGCCGACTTTGGCGAGCTCTTCTAAATTCGTTTGCCGTGAAAAGGTTCAGTATTTGCATGGGTTTTAGTTGATTATTCAAGCTTGGTCTATCCCAGAAAAGCCGGGGCTACTAGAGCTTCGAGAATTTTTTTACGTCGCCTCGAGTTCGGGTATATTTGGGCTCTTCATGCATTTCTTTTGAGAGATCGGGTGGGCCAATAAATTTGTAAATATAGTCTTAGAATGCGCCAATTAAGTAGTATCAAATAAAATTACGACAATAATTCTAGCCGCGCAAATGAATTTTATAGACTGGCACCAAGGTCTGCGAAATAGCACGAACCAACGGTTTTGGAGGCGTTAAAAGGCATCCTTCCGAAGGGGTACGGTAGCTAGTAATTGTTTTCATGATAGATGGACGCCAGTCCTACACAACCAAACAAAGAAAACACCTAGGTTCTATTTACATTCTTAGAAATATTTTTTGAAATTTCGGTTTCGTGACCTCAAACAAATCCATGACCAGGGGGTCGTTGAAAAACTCGAAAAATCACCGATCTCCAAAAATTCTTTAATATGTTTATGTGATAGTATAAAGTCTGTCGGAAATCCACAACGATTTAGTTTGGGATTTTCGCCATAGGTTTTTTAAGACTCGAAATTTACGAAATTTCTCCATACTAAACTTCAGTCCGCTATAACTTTTCAACCAGACCTTAGAAAAATCCTTACTTTTGCATGTATCTATCTAATGCCTACAAGAATTTACACAGCAAAAATTAGAAACCCCCCGCCACAGGCGGCTGAGAAAAATACAAATGAAAATTCCCCGAACGCACAGTTTTCGGGTGTCATTTGTATTGATACGTCGCCAAAAATCGAAAAAATCAAGTTGATCTAAATCGGAGTTCCAGACACTTTTAAGCATTCTGGCATGGTAACGCATGGTGAAATATTTTTCTATAAAAAGTTATTCGAGCCCAAAGTCCGGAACAATTTTTTTGGACACCCTGTACAAACAATGGATGGTAAAAATTTTGAAAAGTTTGGACTTTTTGGTTTGGTAAGTTGCCAACCTCGATCAGGTCAACCTGGGGTGATCCGGGCGGGGTATCGTTGGTGCGCGTATCCTGTTCGCCCTGCTCAACATCTCCCAGCACGCCGTCGGACGGCAGCTCCTTCGAGAGGGGCAGAATCTAAAAAAATTCATTGAAGAGAAATTGCGGGTAAAAACCCACTCCACCGGTTCTTTTGCATTAACGGGGGGGGGGGGCATGGTTTATCGGAAGGAGTGAACTTTACGCCTGGGAAGACCTAGTAAATAGGAAGTCATTTTGCAGTGTTTTTAATAAATTTTGGTCAAACATCGGGACTATGCGTCGAAAAATCTATAGTTAACCTTTATAATATTTTTTTGCAACGTTTTAACGTTTAGGAACGGTAAAAAAAGCAATTTTTAAAGCACTTTATCTATTGATATTAGAAAAACTAAATACTAACTAACTAACTAACGAAAAACTAACTAATCAACTATAATAATTTTCTTGACGCGTCCGTCCGTCTGTGTGAAGCCGAATTCAACTCGAAGGGGAAAGGAGCTAGAGCTTAGCTCTCTTCGGATTCGGATAGAGCGCCGTCAGAAACCCCCAAACTGATAAAAAAATTATGAAAAACTTTTAGTTTAATTTATTAAAATTAACTTTGAAAGTTTTTTCCTTAGTAAAAGGGGTGGGGGACGGAGGTTGGGGTGATTTTGGACATAGTGAGCCAGGTCGCGCGCGTTTCGTGGATGAAAATTTTCACGGGGGATTTCATTTCTTTTTTTCTATCATTCCATCCGGTCGGTCGTTATTTTTGTTTTTTTAAGGGGATTTCGGCTAGGGGAGGTATCTAAAGCCATCAGGAAGGTATTTAGGTAGTTTTTGAAGGGGATTTCAGCCATGGGGGGTATCTTAAGCCATCGGGAAGGTATTTAGGTAGTTTTTGAAGGGGATTTCAGCCATGGGGGTATCTTAAGCCATCGGGAAGGTATTTAGGTAATTTTTGAAGGGGATTTCAGCCATGGGGGTATCTTAAGCCATCGGGAAGGTATTTAGGTAGTTTTTGAAGGGATTTCAGCCATGGGGGGTATCTTAAGCCATCGGGAAGGTATTTAGGTAGTTTTTGAAGGGATTTCAGCCATGGGGGGTATCTTAAGCCATCGGGAAGGTATTTAGGTAATTTTTGAAGGGGATTTCAGCCATGGGGGTATCTTAAGCCATCGGGAATGTATTTAGGTAGTTTTTGAAGGGGATTTCAGCCATGGGGGGTATCTTAAGCCATCGGGAAGGTATTTAGGTAATTTTTGAAGGGGATTTCAGCCATGGGGGGTATCTTAAGCCATCGGGAAGGTATTTAGGTAGTTTTTGAAGGGGATTTCAGCCATGGGGGGTATCTTAAGCCATCGGGAAGGTATTTAGGTAGTTTTTGAAGGGGATTTCAGCCATGGGGGTATCTTAAGCCATCGGGAAGGTATTTAGGTAATTTTTGAAGGGGATTTCAGCCATGGGGGGTATCTTAAGCCATCGGGAAGGTATTTAGGTAGTTTTTGAAGGGGATTTCAGCCATGGGGGGTATCTAAAGCCATCAGGAAGGTATCGAAGTAGTTTTTGAAGGGGATTTCAGCCATGGGGGTATCTAAAGCCATCAGGAAGGTATCGAAGTAGTTTTTGAAGGGGATTTCAGCCATGGGGGGTATCTAAAGCCATCAGGAAGGTATCGAAGTAGTTTTTGAAGGGGATTTCAGCCATGGGGGGTATCTAAAGCCATCAGGAAGGTATCGAAGTAGTTTTTGAAGGGGATTTCAGCCATGGGGGTATCTAAAGCCATCAGGAAGGTATCGAAGTAGTTTTTGAAGGGGATTTCAGCCATGGGGGTATCTAAAGCCATCAGGAAGGTATCGAAGTAGTTTTTGAAGGGGATTTCAGCCATGGGGGGTATCTAAAGCCATCAGGAAGGTATCGAAGTAGTTTTTTAAGTGGATTGCATGAAAGGTAGCCCGAAGGCCAGATGGTTACAGTCGCGAAGCGACTGGAACCATCTGGTAACTTAATAAAAGATGTTATACGTTATCCTATGAATAACTTTCAAACACCTGCCGTATCGGGTTTTGAGGGAAACTTCGGGTAGTCGTACATCTTGCGCCAGTCCGGCTTCAGCTGGTCCAGGTTGAGCGCGGCAGATTGGACCTAAAGATCACTTTAGATATGGAGCACGACACGGACCGTGGCCTGCAAGATGTCGATCTCATCGAAAATGCGAGCCGTGTCCGTGCGCAACCCATCAATCTGCAAAGCCAATTGGGTTCGCGTCCATTAGTGGAGGATATTCGTTTTTCCAATACGTAAATAAGGCAAGGGTTTTTGTGACTGTTTTTCGTCATCCCTAAACGCAAAAACGCAATTTACAAATTTCAAAGCCAAAAACAACAAAAACAATTTTTTCACCAAAATCGTATTTTTACAACGAATATTTCGATTTCAAAGCGTTTTTTTTCACCATAGTAAGATTTTTGCTAAAACAAAATCTTAACATACAGCCAGCAGATGCTTCTCGACATAGGTGATCCAGGTCTTCATCTGATCAACACGCGTCTTCAGACTGGCGGCCCTATCCGAGGAGGGCATGCGGTAGTAGCCCTGGCACTAAAAATAAACATTGGATCTTTCGCATTTCGGGGCCGGGGTATCGGGGCGGAATCTGAGGATCTTAGGTTTCTTAGGATCTCATTTTTTCCTAATTCCTAGACGTGAAAACTTTACAAATTTTTATTAAAACCTCATAAATTCGACCTCGGCAAACATTTTGAGATACTCCATGCATTAATAGGAAGTATGGCTAAATCGGTATATGTCGGCTACGCGGGGGGATTTTACGCGGGGAGGACGGGACAGGCAGGCCTTTTTGGGTGTTTTCGTTATTTTCTCGGAATTTTCGCAACGGCATTCGATAGAGCATCGAAAAATATACTAAGAGTTTTTGTTTTAGCTAAAAATAATGTAATATAAAATAGTTATAACAAAAACAAGTATTAAACGTTGTTTTCATGGAGGATCTAGAAGGAAATCAAATTTTCGACATTTTCGACATTTTTACAAAATTTCTTTAGTGCCATTCGACAGAGCGTCAAAAAATATACTAAGAGTTTTGTTTGTAGCAAAAAGAAACGCAAAAAAATAGTTAGCTCGGCCCCAACGGTCCGTCCCCCCCCGCGTAAAATTCCCCCCCGCGTAGCCGACATATACCGCTAAATGGTCGGCGCTGGGGCTTTCCCAGACTTTTGCCTTATATATTACTAAAAACGCTATTAAAACAAAATTCTAGTAACTTTGTACAAAACAGTTCGGTTTACCGTCTCCCAATCGGTCAGTCGCTCGTCGGCCCCGCAGCGGACACGGTCGGTTTCCTTGAGGGCATCGCTCAGGCGCGTCGGGATGGCGAAGTTGAGCTCCTCGTGCACAAAGCGCAGATGGCGAGCCTCGCGGAGCCGCTGAAATCCACAATGGTAAGAGTCTAGGAAACCCCTAGAAAAAGTTGCGGCTTTGGGGGTTTCCTAGACTCTTATCCCCAATTTTCCAAAATTGGGAGTTTAGATTGTAATTTCTAATAGAACGAGACATACAGTCTTCATCCGGTACGAGGCCTGCAGGCTGTGATTGGCCGCCTGGATGGTCTCCAGGTAGAGGTCCGCGTTCAGCTTGCCGGAGTCGAGCTTGTTGGCCTTCCAATGACGATTCATCGTCTCGTAGGCGATGAAGGCGCTGACGACGGTCTCCCGGGCAGAATCCTGAATCGAATAGTGGTCAAAGTTCAGGGTAATAAAGAAAGATAGGAGCCATTGAAGTTGGCCTAACCTGGTCCCGAAGTCTAAGCTAACCAAGCCTAGCCTAGCCTACGCCTCACCTAAGCGAAGCCTAGGTTTTCCCCAGCCGGGTCCCAACTTTTGTATCTCGACTCCCTGTGGGCCTACAGGTGTGGAAAGTGTTTGTCTTGCCTCGGCGACCATTTTGGGGTTCTGGACTGTTAGCGGGGGGGGAGGTTAGCGGAACCAAACGTGGTTCTCTACGGCCCTATAACAAAACCTCAAACCATTTTGATAGGATTTTACATGGTTTTTAGATATTAAAACAACACAAAAAAATTGGAAATTTTCTAAAATCTTTTCCTTTGATGGCCAAAAAAGGGTGGAAATAACATAAAGTGGTGTTCCTCCTTGCTGAAATCTCCCCCCCCCCGCTAACAGCCCAGAACCTATTCGGGTGCATTTTATAATTATATAGCACAACGGGGGGCCAAGACTTTAGGGATTGTCAAATACTTTCAAAATTTAGAGAAATTAAGAAAGCTCTGGCCCGCCAATTTTGTACAAAACCCGATAATTTTTTTCGGTTTTTCACAAAAATTGAAAAGTTTTTCCGTTTGAACATAGTGTAAAATGTTTCCGAAGGGCTTCCAATCTTCGCATTGGCAAAATCCGATCCGGGCGAAGTCAACTGGCAACGAAACTCACTGGGAGCGTGGCACTCGACATTGTTGACGAAGGTGACGGCGCCGGAGATGAACAATTGGGTCGTAGTTGATCGGCAACCGGGTAGAGGAGAGCGCGCAGAATGGGCGAAATCCATTAGTCATAAAACCATTAGTCATAACCCCATTAGTCATAAAACCATTAGTCATAAACCAATTAGTCATAAATTCCATTAGTCATAAACTCATTAGTCATAAATTCCATTAGTCATAAACTCATTAGTCATAAATTCCATTAGTCATAAATTCAATAGTCATAAATTTTATTAACCGTAGATTTTGAGGTTTGAGTGTTGAGTTTTGAGTTTTGAGTTTCGAGGTTTGAGGTTAGAGGTTTTGAGGTGTATGTGATGGTCCTTGTCGTGTTCTCGAATCAAACTCCTTGGTTGCGCGTGATCGGATATCATTAAACCTATTAATTTTGGATTTGTTAACGGGATTATATCAGAGAATAACATTTCCCAGCAATCAGTTTCATAACATTTATGACTATTGGAATTTATGATTATTGAATTTATGACTAATGGAATTTATGACTAATGGATTTATGACTAATGGAATTTATGACTATTGAATTTATGACTAATGGGTTTATGACTAATGGAATCCTACTATATATAAAAAAATAGTGTTTGTGTGTGTGTGTGTGTGTGTATATTTGCATGCACTTCCGTTAGGATGTTCCGCTCCTACAGCCTCGGGGAAGGGTTTTTTGGATAGGGAAGAAACGACAATAGGTTTAGAATGGTCCGGAATCGACTGCACACACATAAAAATTTTGAAAAATTGCGGTTTTCGCTATTAAAAACCAGATGGTTACAGTCGCTTCGCGACTGCAACCATCTGGGCTTCGGGCTACCCTACATGTCCCACTCTACCACATCCTTTCCCACCTCCATCAATACCCCCCATAGCCGAAATCCCGTTCAAAAACTACCTAGATACCTTCCTGATGGCTTCAGATACCCCCCATGGCTGAAATCCCCTTCAAAAACTACCTAGATACCTTCCTGATGGCTTCAGATACCCCCCATGGCTGAAATCCCCTTCAAAAACTACCTAGATACCTTCCTGATGGCTTCAGATACCCCCATGGCTGAAATCCCCTTCAAAAACTACCTAGATACCTTCCTGATGGCTTCAGATACCCCCCATGGCTGAAATCCCCTTCAAAAACTACCTAGATACCTTCCTGATGGCTTCAGATACCCCCCATGGCTGAAATCCCCTTCAAAAACTACCTAGATACCTTCCTGATGGCTTCAGATACCCCCCATGGCTGAAATCCCCTTCAAAAACTACCTAGATACCTTCCTGATGGCTTCAGATACCCCCCATGGCTGAAATCCCCTTCAAAAACTACCTAGATACCTTCCTGATGGCTTCAGATACCCCCCATGGCTGAAATCCCCTTCAAAAACTACCTAAATACCTTCCTGATGGCTTTAGATACCTCCCCTAGCCAAAATCCCGTTTAAAAAACGAAAATAACGACGGACCGGATGGAATTAGAGAAAAAAAAAATGAAATCCCCCGTGAAAATTTTCATCCACGAAACGCGCGCGACCTGGCTCACTATGTCCAAAATCAGCCCAACCTCCGTCCCCCACCCTTTTACTAAGGAGAAAACTTTCAAAGTTAATTTTAATAAGTTAAACTAAAACTTTTTCATAATTTTTTTTATCAGTTTAGGGGTTTCTGAGGGCGCTCTATCCGAATCCGAAGAGAGCTAAGCTCTAGCTCCTTTCCCCTTCGAGTTGAATTCGGCTTCAGACACACGGACGGACGGACGTCTTAACTTTTTTATTATAGTTGACCAGATGGTTCCAGTCGCTTCGCGACTGTAACCATCTGGCCTTCGGGCTACCCTTCATGCAATCCACTTAAAAAAACTACTTCGATACCTCCCTGATAGCTTTAGATACCCCCCATGGCTGACATCCCCTTCAAAAACTACCTAAATACCTTCCTGATGGCTTTAGATACCCCCCATGGCTGAAATCCCCTTCAAAAACTACCTAAATACCTTCCTGATGGCTTTAGATACCCCCATGGCTGAAATGCCCTTCAAAAACTACTTCGATACCTCCCTGAAGGCTTTAGATACCCCCCATGGCTGAAATCCCCTTCAAAAACTACTTCGATACCTCCCTGATGGTTTCAGATACCCCCCATGGCTGAAATCCCCTTCAAAAACTACCTAAATACCTTTCTGAAGGCTTTAGATACCCCCCATGGCTGAAATCCTTCCATACCTTCCTGAAGGCTTTAGATACCCCCCATGGCTGAAATCCCCTTCAAAAACTACTTCGATACCTCCCTGATGGTTTCAGATACCCCCCATGGCTGAAATCCCCTTCAAAAACTACCTAAATACCTTTCTGAAGGCTTTAGATACCCCCCATGGCTGAAATCCTTCCATACCTTCCTGAAGGCTTTAGATACCCCCATGGCTGAAATCCCCTTCAAAAACTACCTAAATACCTTCCTGATGGCTTCAGATACCCCCCATGGCTGAAATCCCCTTCAAAAACTACCTAAATACCTTCCTGAAGGCTTTAGATACCCCCATGGCTGAAATCCCCTTCAAAAACTACTTCGATACCTCCCTGATGGTTTCAGATACCCCCCATGGCTGAAATCCCCTTCAAAAACTACTTCGATACCTCCCTGATGGTTTCAGATACCCCCCATGGCTGAAATCCCCTTCAAAAACTACCTAAATACCTTTCTGAAGGCTTTAGATACCCCCCATGGCTGAAATCCTTCCATACCTTCCTGAAGGCTTTAGATACCCCCCATGGCTGAAATCCCCTTCAAAAACTACCTAAATACCTTCCTGATGGCTTCAGATACCCCCCATGGCTGAAATCCCCTTCAAAAACTACCTAAATACCTTCCTGAAGGCTTTAGATACCCCCATGGCTGAAATCCCCTTCAAAAACTACCTAAATACCTTCCTGATGGCTTTAGATACCCCCCATGGCTGAAATCCCCTTCAAAAACTACTTCGATACCTCCCTGATGGCTTCAGATACCCCCATGGCTGAAATCCCCTTCAAAAACTACCTAAATACCTTCCTGATGGCTTTAGATACCCCCCATGGCTGAAATCCCCTTCAAAAACTACCTAAATACCTTCCTGAAGGCTTTAGATACCCCCCATGGCTGAAATCCCCTTCAAAAACTACCTAAATACCTTCCTGATGGCTTCAGATACCCCCCCATGGCTGAAATCCCCTTCAAAAACTACCTAAATACCTTTCTGAAGGCTTTAGATACCCCCCATGGCTGAAATCCCCTTCAAAAACTACCTAAATACCTTCCTGAAGGCTTTAGATACCCCCATGGCTGAAATCCCCTTCAAAAACTACCTAAATACCTTCCTGATGGCTTCAGATACCCCCCCATGGCTGAAATCCCCTTCAAAAACTACCTAAATACCTTCCTGATGGCTTTAGATACCCCCATGGCTGAAATCCCCTTCAAAAACTACCTAAATACCTTCCTGAAGGCTTTAGATACCCCCATGGCTGAAATCCCCTTCAAAAACTACCTAAATACCTTCCTGATGGCTTCAGATACCCCCCCATGGCTGAAATCCCCTTCAAAAACTACCTAAATACCTTCCTGATGGCTTCAGATACCCCCCCATGGCTGAAATCCCCTTCAAAAACTACCTAAATACCTTCCTGAAGGCTTTAGATACCCCCCCATGGCTGAAATCCCCTTCAAAAACTACCTAAATACCTTCCTGAAGGCTTTAGATACCCCCATGGCTGAAATCCCCTTCAAAAACTACCTAAATACCTTCCTGATGGCTTCAGATACCCCCCCATGGCTGAAATCCCCTTCAAAAACTACCTAAATACCTTCCTGATGGCTTTAGATACCCCCATGGCTGAAATGCCCTTCAAAAACTACTTCGATACCTCCCTGATGGCTTCAGATACCCCCCATGGCTGAAATCCCCTTCAAAAACTACTTCGATACCTCCCTGATGGCTTTAGATACCCCCCATGGCTGAAATCCCCTTCAAAAACTACCTAAATACCTTCCTGAAGGCTTTAGATACCCCCCATGGCTGAAATCCCCTTCAAAAACTACCTAAATACCTTCCTGATGGCTTTAGATACCCCCATGGCTGAAATGCCCTTCAAAAACTACTTCGATACCTCCCTGATGGCTTCAGATACCCCCCATGGCTGAAATCCCCTTCAAAAACTACTTCGATACCTCCCTGATGGCTTTAGATACCCCCATGGCTGAAATCCCTTCAAAAACTACCTAAATACCTTCCTGAAGGCTTTAGATACCCCCCATGGCTGAAATCCCCTTCAAAAACTACTTCGATACCTCCCTGATGGCTTCAGATACCCCCCATGGCTGAACTCCCCTTCAAAAACTACCTAAATACCTTCCTGATGGCTTTAGATGATTTAAATAATTAATTAACATAATTAAAAAGTATTAAAAAGTATTAAAGTAACTTAAAAAGCTATTTGAGGGCGGCAAAGGGCCTGGGGAAGAGGGGCGAAGGGAAAGGGGGCATGGCCTCCCGGGAGAGGGGCCCCCACTCATTTTATTAAGGCGCCACTTTCAAAGTTAATTTTAATAATTTAAACTAAAACTTTTTCATAATTTTTTTATCAGTTTGGGGGTTTCCGACCACGCTCTATCCGAATCCGAAGAGAGCTAAGCTCTAGCTCCTTTCCCCTTCGAGTTGAATTCGGCTTCAGACGGACGGACGGACGGAGACCACAGCAAAATTATTATAGTTGATAGGTTTTTGTAAAACCCTGTTTGTTAGGGGAAATTACCATACGCCGGAAGTTGGAAGAGCCTATATAAAGGGACAGAGGAGCCGTTTTTCACTTTTTTCTTGCTAAAATTCAGGAAGAAACATGCAAATTAAGGACTTTCACAGGTCCTGGACGGGGCCAGGGTTGAAAAGCCGCGAAGCGGTTTTTCAACCCTGGTTTATGACTAATGGGTAGGGTTGTT